TAAATAATTAATTTCATTTTTAAAGTAGGAATTGTAAGTATCAATACTGCTATATATTTATTTGTTCATTTTTCTTGCATACTTGACCATGATTATATTTAATTGATTATAGATGGATATGTTAAATTTTAATTTTTAAATATGAAAATATTTTATTTAATTTTTGCTTAATAAACATACTATCTTGAAACCATTTTCATTTTTTCCAATGTCTGTTTTGTTTATTGACGTTTTTCTCTATATGTAGACAAGTAATTTGAATTAAATCAATAATCCCAACAAACTTGTGACATCAAAATTTTTCTGCAATGTTGTTGCTAAGGGTTGTTAGCAACCTGTTTTAAAGCTGTTTTGTTTTTCTGACTCTGATTCTAGCTTGCAGTTTCTGAAGGTTTGAAACACATAAAAAGGTTTGAAACAAGGTTTGAATAAAGTATGAGATTACATACACATAAAAATTGTATAATTACTTTTATAAAAGGGATTCCTTATTTTCTAATCAGGGCTGTCCTGAGGGGGGGGGGGGGGAGAAGGAGCATATTATAAAGGAATCCCTTATTTTCTAATTGCTCTAACTTATAATTAAAAAAAAAAAATGTTGATTTTTAAATAATTCAATTTTTAAATTTATTAAATGTTCAATTTACTGTTAATTTTTCATTTGTCAATTTAAAGTTAATGGCATTTTGATTCAAGCCATTACCAAAAATAAATACATTTATCACTCAATAGGTTAAATTGAACTTAAACTAATGAAAAAATAGATTAAAAGCTAATGAAAGTGATGTAATTTAATTTCTTTAATAAGTTTTTGATAAAATCAACTCGTTTTTCCGCGCAGCGGCCTTGTTCGCCAAGGTTCGTGTTTCGGAGTTATAGAGTTGAGAGAGGGTTATAGCCACAAAATAAGTAGCCTCCTCGTCTGTAGTGGCCTTCTCGGCCTTGAGGAGGTGAAGTTAAATAAAAAAAAGAAAAAAAAAAAAAAAGAAAAGAAAAAAATGATAACATAATAAAAAATTAATAAAAACTGACAACATATTAATACAGCTTTATCTTGATGTAAAAACTCAATGGAAAATAACATGACTAATGCTTGAGCCATTAATAAAAGCAGAAACTTGAGAAATTTTATTAGAATTTAAAGAGAGTTTAATTTATTGGATAATGTAGATTTAAATTTCATAGATAATTTGATAATGCCATAGAAGATACTCTCAGGTGCTTAATAGATAATGGAAATCAAAATGTAAGTGGGAATTTAAGTCCAGATCCAATAAAGAAAGGAGGGTGGTTTTAACTTACAGGTTTGTAGGAATTTTTATTTTTATCAGTGAGTTTATATTTTCTAATTTTTAAGGCCGGTTTAGATTAAAAGTTTTTTTAGTTGTGGGATACACTTTCTTTGTTGATAATAAATAAAATAAATAAACAGAAAAAAAAAAAAATCCAGGGTGAATAAAAAAAAAATTTTTAAATATAACCCATTCCCTCTCATTTATTAACAGACCTTATTATTAAGAAAATCACCCAGCACAACATTTTGGACACATTAATGTACTTCAGGCCTTGTTTTAAAGCGTTACGCCTAGAGCGATTTACGTACGCCTTAAGCGCTTTTTACGTACGCGTAGAGCTGTTTTGGTTAAGCTACTTTTTATCATTTTTTAACTTTTAAATTAGCGGTAACATAAAAGAAGTAATTAATTTTCAAAAAAACCACATTAACTTTTAAATAACGATATGTAAAGGTATTTATTAAAAAAAAGAATTTACTTTAAAATTAATTGTTGTAACTTTTCATCGCGATATATCTTTCCTTTTTATAGCAATTAATTTGACGCTAAACTTTTTATCCAAATATTTATAGCAACATGAAAAATTGTTTGTCAATCCTTAACTACAAATTTTTTGGAATGTTTTTAATAAAAAGTAGTAAAGTTTTTAGTAAAAAACTTTTTAAAAATCTATATTCCATATTTATTAATACAGAATATAAAAGTTTTTTGTAATATAGATTTTTTATGAATTTTTTACTGAATTTATAATAAAAAACATTTGCAAAAAAAATTGTAATTAAGAATTGACATTTTTTTTAATAAAATCTCAAAAAATGTCTTAATATTTTTGTTATCATGATAACAAAAATATCAAGACATTTTTTCGAGATGTTAAAAAAAAATGTCTTTGCTTTTCTTATTAGTTTAATAGTATATAGCTTATAGTTAGTTTAATAGTATATAGCTTTTCTTATTAGTTTATTAGTATATAGTTTAAGTTATGCGGGGGGAGAGGGTCGGCACAGAAAAAAAAATTACCTGTTACTCGCAATATTAATATTTGAATGAAGACAATTTGTTAAAATTCTTCTGCGTGCGATTCAATAAGTTTTTTTTGTCATAAATCAAGTTATAATATAAGGTAAAGAAATCATGAGTAGACTACAACATCCGCTGATGACACTAATATTACGTTGAATATATTTATATAACGGAGGTTTTATTATGCACGCGCACATTACAAGTTCCGTTAAATAAATACTAAGGCACGTTTTAGCTTAATGACAGTCTCCATTTTTTACTAATGAATATGTATTTTTCTTTATAAAACAAAACAAACTAGTATATAAAAACCTTGTATATTTCTATTATCTCTAAATTATTTAAAGTTTGAATATGGATTGTATTTTGAAGGACAAAAGATTTACTTTAAAAACTTTTAAATCTTGGGACTTTGCCGATGCGATGATCACAGAAAAAGAGAAGACTTACGTTATTAAAATCAAATGTAAGTTATGTGATCTTCATCAAAATAAAATATTATCCAAAAACAATAGTGCCGTAAGAGCAACTGCCCAACGGTTTATAAATAATACAAGTCATGTTAAAATATTTTAACATGTTACTATATTTTAATTAAGTTGATATATAATTAAAAATAAAAATATAGTTCAATAAATAAATTAAATTTATTCTTAACAAAGATTACCTCGTATTTATTCTTTTATTTTATTTTATTAAGTTAAATTGCTTACAAACGAAAAAAAAAAAAGAGTTTTGTAATTATACGTAGAATGAAAATACTTTTGAGTTTGTTTATAAGTTAAGGAACTTAATTTTTAATAAACAAATTTTTACGAATGTTTATTATAAACAGATACGATTCAAATTATTAAATATACTTAAATTATTTCAGTTGAGTATTTTTTTAAGTTTGCACGATTAAAGTTTGACGTAGAAGTATTTGTTTTTTTGTTTTAAGAATAATTAACAAAAGAGTTTGCATAATTAAGACTTTTATATTTAATTTTTTTTTTTAATTTCCTAAAATAAAAATAAAAAAATCGTTGAAAACGATTTTTCTCTGTGGCTCTGTTTCTTTGTGATTTGTTTAAAAAGTTAAATATTTTTACAATAAGATAAAAAGTTTATGAATTAAATTCCTAGCGAATGCGTTCTAAACTACGTATCAAAAATACGCTTCAAAGCAGACAAAACTTTTTTATATTTTTTTAAAACGCAAGTTGAAACGCTTTTAAAAATTTAAAAAATATTTAAAAACTTAAATTTTTCTTTGCTAGTCAAAACAAAATCGTTGTTTAAATAATTAACATGGGTTTGTGTTTATCAATGTTAATATTTTTTGTTTACTCTAGAAATTTTTAAAAATAAAAAAAATCATTATTATTTTTTATTCAATAACGATTAAAAACAATTATTCAAAAACAAATTTCAGAAATAATTAATATATATATATATTTTTTTTTTTTACTAAATAATATTGAACTAAAATTAATAATAAAGTAACAATTGAAAACATTACAAAATTTTCATAATAAATTTATATTTAAAACGTTTATAGTTTATATTTGAGTTAATTGTTAAATTGAATTAGTTTGCGGTTATTTATTTATTGCGGTAGTTAAAACACTTAACGCCTATAAAAAAAAATAAAGATAATTTTATGACGTCAAAATCGCGTTAAGCTAATGCATTAAGCACTTTTTTATTTAAAACAAGGCCTGTACTTAATCTCTCATCTTCAATCTAATAACTTACTTTCTGATCATCAAAATGGATTTCGATCTTCTCATTCTACAGCTGATTTGCTAACAGTAATAACCGATAGGTTTCACCATGCATTAGATAAAGGTGGAGAGGTTAAGGCCATCGCTCTTGACATTTTTAAAGCGTTTGATAAAGTTTGGCATGTCGGTCTTTTCCATAATATATTTCCATAATAAGATACGATGTATCTGGAAAGATCTTTAAGATTATTGAATTCTTCCTTTCCAATCGTAGTATAAAAGTTATCTTTGATGGACAGCACTCTTCTTCTTATTCTGTAACCTCAGGGGTTCCTCAAGGTTCAATCTTTGGCTCTATACTCTTTTTAATTTACATTAACGATCTTCCAGATATTCTCACATCTAAGGTGGCATTGTTTGCTGATGATATTACCATTTACTGTTGTCATGATAAGAAGCCAAACCTCTCTGATTGCTTAGAGGGGGCATTTGAGCTTGAAAAGGATCTCACTTCTGCTACAGCATGGGGCTCACAGTGGCTGGTGAACTTTAATTCAGATAAAACTCAAAAAAAAATTTGAGTTTTATCTGAATTAAATTTTTATCTGATTGGCTGAAATAATTTTTTCAGCCAGTTGTTATTGCAATAATTTAGATCTTTTTATATTGGTAATGTACTTGATGAGTCATCTACCGTTCATCTTCTAGGATTAACTCTTACTTCTGATCTTTCTTGGAAACCATATATCAAATCTGTTGCAAAATTAGCATCTGATAAAGTTGCATCTCCTTATCGAGCTCAACACTTTCTTACTCTGGATTCTATTCTCTATCTCTATAAATCTCAAATCCGGCATTGTATTGAATACTGTTGCCATATCTGGGGCAGATCTTCTAATGATGCCCTTTCTCTTTTAGACAAGGTGCAACAACGCATAGAAAAACATAGTCAGACCAGCTCTTGCAACCGAATTTCAACCATTATCATATTTTGCTTCTCTTTCTCTTTTCTACAAATACTATAATGGGCACTGCTCTAATGAGCTAGCGTCTCTTGTGCCATCTACTAAAATTCATTCTCGTGTTACTCTTCATTCAGTTAAGTCTCATCCATTTTCTGTTACTGTCCCTAAGTGCTCCAAAAACTCTTATTTGTCTAGTTTTTTTCCTCGAACATCAGTTCTTTGGAATTTGCTTCCTTCATCTTGATTTCCTGATTCATATAATTTGCAATCTTTTAAGTCATCTATCAATCGGTATCTTGCTCTACAAATTTCATCTTTTCTCTTCTAGTAACTTCCAACACTAATTAGTATATTAGTAATAAACATTGATTAATGTTTTTAATTTAATTATGTTTTCTGAAATGTTATTTAAACAAAAACAATTAAACTTTTAAAATACTCAAGTTTTTTTTTTAATTGTTGAACTAAAAATTAATGTTACTCTGTAAACTTGAAAAAAAAATTTAAAGTTTTAGTTTTTCTTTATTTAATATTTGTTGTAGTTGTTATATCATGTTAAATTTCCAGTAAATAAACAATAATTTCTTGTAATTAACATTTTGTTATATTATGTTAAATTCCCAGTTGTTATAATCCAGTATTACATTAAAACTTTTTATACATAGTTAGTACACTAGGAAAACTTTCTAAATTAAATAGAATGACGTAAGTTAATTTTTTAAAAACAAGCTTTTTTGATGAAAGACAAATAATTATGTTTAATGAAAAATAAAAAACTAATAAAAATTAAAAACTCGACAAAGATAGAGGCTATTTTAGAGTGTTTGAAGTTCTTTTCGCAAAAGTTCCAAATCAGGTTCCAATTATTGCAATCTTTAGTAGAGCATCTTTATTTCACAAAAGAGTAAATAAAAAATTTCATGAGTTTGCTTCATGTCTGGAAGTTAGATTTAGGTCAAATTATACTTGATTATAATAAAAAATTTATATTTAAATTAGAAAAAAAAAAGCTGTTTTTCAAAATTCTAAAACAGCAAAACAGCTGTTTTATATATATTGTTTACAAAAATCCTACACCCACAAAATATTTTTTAATGTTTATAAAAAAGAATTATTAATCTACTATTTACAAACTTGGAAAAAAAAGTTAGTTGTTACTAGTGAAACAACAATATACAATTATCTTATGTAAACAAGCAAATAAAGTTTTAATAAAAATAAATAATATTTCACTAACTTCATCATTAGGTATTGAGTACATGTCTTCATTTTCCTGGTCAACTAACTTATTAACTTCATGTTCGCAACCAGTAACCTTTAAAAAGATTTTAAATAAATATAGATAAAAAAATTTTAATAAATAAAAAAAAAAAATAAAAAATACAATTAAAAAGCTATTAAAAATGTTCTTACTAACAAAAAACTTACTTTTATTATAGGAAGGACAGGTGGCTCGGTATGTTGAAGATAATTAATTACCATTAATACAAAACAGTATGGTGATAATCCTCCATTATCAGCATTGTCCAGACCACAAACCTAATATAAATTTCATAAGTTTTATAACTTTAACTTATAATTTTTTTATCAAGAATTCCTAAAATTATGAAAATATTGGATTTAATTTTATAAACATTGAAACTTGCCTTGCTCCACATTCTTATTAACATAGCCAGTTTAGCGCATCTCTTATCAGCATTGGTGTACTTGATTATTAAATCAGATGTTTGATAACACTAAAAATCAAATATATGATAACATTAAAAAGAATTTCAAATAATTGTTTTACATACATACATACATACATAAATACATAAATACTGCCATGGTCAACACAACAGTCACTATAGTATAGAGTAAACTTGGCAGTTATATCAGCCTTCCACAACAAAAAATTAAACTCAGGACTTGTTATGAGATTTTATTGCCTAACTAAAATGCTTAGCACTAATAAATGTTACTCTAATTCATTTTTGACATTGCTTACATTGTTAAAAGTTAAATTGCATCCAGGGGTGTGAAATTGTAAAAAAAAAGTAACGACTCCAAATCCAGTTGTTGAAATTTTTTGAGCACAACTCTGACTCCGTTTCCAACTCTGACTCCGACTCAAACTCCAAAGCAAAATTTTTGAAAAATTCTTTGAATTCTTTTAAAAATATTGCGCGATAAGTTAAAAATTTCTTTTTTGACAAATTTATGAAACGTTTTTTGAAGTTTACTATGAACATAAGGTTAATTGAATGTTTTGTACATGCACGTGCAATACTGAGAAGTTTTACTATTGGAGTCGGAGTCGCGATTTTGTTTAGCGACTCCGACTCTGCTGAAAATGTCGCATCTCCGCAACTCTGACTCTGCAGCCCTGATTGCATAGTACTGCATTGTAATTTGATATAATTTTAAACCGCGTTAAAAAATTTTTAAACTAATAACAAAAATTACTGATGAAATCTAAATTCAGTATTTGAAAAAGATTGTATTTCCTTATAAATTATTTCTTAAAACAATCTTAAACTTAACATAATCTTTTGTTTATCACAATTTATTTATTGATTACATATTTATTAAACTATTTTTAATAAAAATTATTAACAATTTATAGATTTGATCAATTACCAATTTGTAAGATATTTGTAAATATAAACTTATTCGTAAACATAATTTATGTTCAGAAATAAATTTCAAAAGAACTTTACACAATATTGAATAAGAAACAAATAAGTAATTAAATAATTCCTGAAAATAATTCTCCTAAACAAAAACACTTTTCCCTTTTTTAAAAGCAAATGAAAAAGTTTTTTTATTAACTTTCACAAATTTTAATTTATGATGGAGAAACATGTTTTACATAATGAATTAGTTAGAAAAAAATATCTTTAACAAATATTGCAAAACTATTTTACATTTCTTCTTCAAATTGAAAATTTTAAAATTTTAAATTTTTTAATTAAGGAAAAATAATCAGTTTCTTTAAAGAAAAAAATCTAGTTGCAGTTAAATGCTTTTTTTTACAACTTTTTCTTTTATAAAATATTTTTTGAATAAAAGCCACATTAGGAATATAAGGACTTGATTTAAAATAGTTCTTATTGTAAAAGACATTTCTTAGAAACGGTAAATGTAAGCATATGCTATATTCAGTACGCAAAGAAAAACTATTTTAAGATTTTTAAAAACAATTTAATAATCAAGTTGCAAATACTATGCATTTTATAAACATTTATTGAAATTTTTTTTAATGTTTATTAATAAATTTAATATATATTTCCAAAGTTTCTCTTCATCACAAAATGTGTAAATATTCTAATAAATAAGACAAATTTTTGAATTTTTGTTAAAATCATTTATTTTGTAAATACATGTTTCAACTATATCATAGCCATCATCAGTTAAAATATATTAAAATACTTAAATCAAATTATTAAAATTAAGTTGAACTAATAGAGCATAGCACCTGTTCTTGCTAGTCTTTTCATGGGAAATTTTGAAGATAAATGGCTCAAATCACATAACGGAGAAAAACCAGCTTTTTATAAACGGTATGTAGATGACATTTTTGCTGCTTTCACTTCCGAAAATCACGCCGATTTATTTTTGGAGTATATCATTAATAAACATAGTTCTATTACTTTTACAATGGAAAAAGAAATTCAATCAAAAATATCTTTTTTGGACCTAACTTTAAATAAAAAAAACAATTCCACAATTACCACTGTTTTTCATAAGAAAACCTTTTCGGGACTCTACACAAACTTTTTCAGTTTTACTTCATTTTCATACAAAGTTAGTCTGGTTAAATGCCTAATTGATTGAGCTCATAAAATAAACAACACTAGTCTTGGTCTTATTCATGATATTAAAGATCTTTTTAAAGTTCTCAAACGCAACTTGTACCCGTCTTGGTTGATTAAAAAAATCCATAGCTCTTATATTAACAACACCAATGTTGACATTTCATCACGTTCGGGAAACTTACAATATTATTAATATTTTAAATTTCCTTATATTGTAAAAATATCTGATTTAACCGAAGACTAAACACAATCATTAAAAGATGTAAATCTGTCACTGTAAGATTGGTTTTTACTTCATTTAAAATTTCAACATTTTTTTCCACAAAAGATCCCTTTCCTACAGACTTTAATTCATTCGTTGTCTATAAATTTGAATGCGCAGGCTGTAAATCCTGTTATATTGGCGAAACTACTCGCCATTTAAAGACACGATTAATTGAGCACCAAAAAAGGGATAAAAACTCACACATTTGTAAACATACTCATTCAAATAAAGGCTGTTTTAATAGTTTTAATCATGCTAATTTTTCAATTTTGGATTCGGCCTCCAACAAGTTTATATTAAAACTCAAAGAAAGCATGTACATAGAGTGGGAAAAACCCACTATTAAAAAACAAATGAATAATGTAAAAATTACTATTTCAATCTAGTTCCTTTAATTATTACATTACCACTTTTTTTATCTTTTTTAAAACATTTGTTACATTTTTTAATTGCATTTTTATTGTATTTTTATTATAAGGTCTCTATTAGTTCAACTTAATTTTAATAATTTAAGTATTTTAATATATTTTAACTGATAATGGCTATGATATAGTCGAAACATGTATTTACAAAATAAATGATTTTAACAAAAATTAAAAAATTTGTCTTATTTATTAGAATATATATATATATATATATATATATATATATATATATATATATATATATATATATATATATATATATGGCAAAATAAATGCGTACATAAAATAAGTTACATTTACTTTGGATATTTTTAAACTTTAAAGACATCTAAGTTTGAAAATAATTAAAACCTAATAAAACTATTACCAAGTCATTGTAATCATTATTTTCATTATCATTTAGGTCAAAAATAAGTAAAAAAGGGAAACAAAACTTTTTGAAAAGTAATCCTTTTAATTTTTCGTTTTCTTAACAAAAAATAAAATGGCTAACTACAGATCAAATTTTCATTCATTCATTCAAAAATATTCATTCATTCAAAAATAAAATTTGAAAAGAAATTTTTACTATGTTTATTTATTATTAAAAACAGTTAATACTTAATTGCCAAGATGCTAAAGTTAACTTTACTCTGAATGAATATTTTAAAACTGTTCTATCTTTCTAAAAAACTACATTTTCATACACTTCACTGTCTTAATATAGAGTTTTTAATAAGTTTTGATTTATTTTTTAAAATCTAATGTTTGATTAATTAAAAAATGGTAGTTGTACAACATTAAACAAAAAATTTTTTATGCAAAACATCAAAACAAAAACTTGTTCTAAATCAAGGAATGTAACTACTTTTTAATCCATCCTGAAGAGAAAAAAAATTGACTAAAGTAAAATAAAAAATCAGTTAATTCTTACTGCATTTGAAAACAAAACTTTTTTTCATAGTCTTAATAAAAAAGCAAAAATTAAACAACAAGTTTTTGGGTGCCTATACTACTCCAATCACACCAAAACAGGTTTGCATTTGTCCCTGTGAATTCTACCATAATTACCCATAGCAAAATTATTTCAAAATTGAAAGCAAAATAATTTCAAAATTAAAGGCTTAATTGCACAACACGGTGATAACACACAAGCACAATATTTTCAAAACAGCAAGAATACTTTTATTTCTTTGTTTATTTTTTTGTTTTTTGTAAAAGCAGCATAGAAATAAAATAAGAATTTAATTACTTTACCAATAAAAAAAAGTAATTTTTTCAAAAAACTATGTTAAAGTTCCAACAAAGTTTCTCAATTTCTCACTTACTCTGAAACTCTAAAAAATTACGATTAAAACTATAAATCCAATGAGACAGAGTTTCAATTGTATCCATTGAGTGTTGTGTACAAATAGCTATAAGTGTAATCGTCTTTTTCATAAGTTGAGTTTGCAGGTGTTACATTGAGCGATCGTGTATAATACTTTAAAATTTTATTTTAACAATTAGTCTTTTTTGCTATTAATATAGACGGTAAGATTGAAAAATGTAATATGATATGGTGTGGATTTGAATCCTAAGAAAACAACTCTGAGGACAGCGCACTAAACCACTGAGCTTTCAGAGATATACAAGCAAAAATCAAATCATTTTTTAAATTTCTTATACCATTTGTAATTAGTTTCTTTATAATATAAGAAAACTTTAAAACTTTATTCTAATAATTAAAATTCTTTTTTGTTATATATATTTTTGCTATAAATATATATATGATAAGATTGATAAAACTAAAAAATGTGTTATGCTAAGGGGCTGATAATTTTTAAAAGTATCTAGTGAATTATATGCACAATACTCTTTTTATCCAAAACTTGTTTTTTTATTTTTTTGGTTTTGGTTGTTTTAATTAAACTCATTTGCTCATATTTTTAATGTATTAAAGATATTCTAATTTTAAAAACAGCATAAAACCATTTTATATAATATACAATTAAGCTTTTAATTGTCATGTAGCATCACACCTTCTGCAATATTGTTATAAATAACAAATATTTTAGAAAAGCAATACAAATTTATTTACCTTACTGTAAAACCTTACTAATAAAAGCAATACAAATTTATTTACCTTACTGTAAAAGGGAGCTATGCAGCATGAAAGTCCACTAAATAAAATATGATTTATAATTTAAAAAAAATTTTTAAAATTGTTTTAAATTTCATTTTTTTTTAACTTTGATTGGTTTTATTATTTTAGTATTATACATATTAACATAAAATTATATATATATTTATATATATATATATCAAGCCTTTTTAGAAAAAGCTTGCAGTCAAATGTCTTATATGACCACAAATATAACATTTTGTTTCGACAACTTGGCCACAGCTCTTAGCAAGTTTTGAAAATTAGAACGTGTAAAAAATGCACTAAATAATCAAAAACTTAAACTAAAATTAAAATAAACAAAATTAAAAAGAGAAATAAAAATTAAAAAAACTAAAAAAAAAATGTAAAACTAAACTAAAAAAATAAAAAAATTGACAAAGGATAAAATCAAAAAAATAAATCAAAAAAAAAAATAAAAACCTAAAATACATCTTTATTTGAAAGTGTTTCACTTCATAGAATTTAGAAAAGATTGAAGCTTCAGTTATTTAATCCAAGCTTAAATATACATGGATAAATTGAAAAGTAATTTGGGAGGGAGAAACTATTACTTGTTTACTTGATTTTAGTAAAATATTTTTGATAAAATGTTTTTGTTGAAGACAATTGTTGTTTAATTAAACACTTAATGTTGCACATTGTTTAAAATTTAAATAACTGTTATACACATTAATTAATACTGTTATACACATTAATTAAAGAGTTCTTTCCATTGCAGTAAATCATAAAAGTCTTGTTTTTTAAATATAACTTATGTCATTTTGTTCAAATTAGAATGTGGTTTTCCAATTTGTACAAACAATGAATGGAAAGTTTTATTGTAATAGACGAAATTTAATGTATTAACAACATCAACAAGATTGAATCAAGAAATAATGACTGTCATGCCTTCATGGTGAGAGCAACAGATCTTTTTTTATTTCGCTACAATAATATTGTGAAAATAATTTCAAATGTTTAATGAAGTCCAACATAACTTTATATAAAATATATATAAATTTATATAAATATTTTATAAATTGTAAACTTTTTATATAAAATGGTTACTTTCTAATCTCTTGAAATTAATTTCATTGTAGCATTTGATGCTATAAAAAGAATTTTCTCACAAGCCATTTATTTCAAAAGCCAATTATTTTATAAGCCATTTTTATTTCTAACCTTTATATTACCATTATGCTTTTTATCTGTGATTAATATTTGGGTCAAATTATACTGTTTAAAAACTAACTGTTCATTCATGTTAGTGATGTGTTATTATGAACAGCTTATTGGATCTCTAAGATTCGTATTAATAACTTATTGGATCTTTAAGATATATTTTTTGAATGTCTTGAAAAACTTTACATTCACTTTTATCACTTCCCAAAATCATTACATTCACTTTTATCACTTCCCAAAAATTCTTTTTAAATCTACTTAATCTTGATTAATTGATTGAATCTTGATTAGAACTTTACTCAAGTTTTAATCATGATTCAAATCAAAGGCTTTTTAAATAAGACATATTACATAGAGCATCTTCAAAATAATGTGGTAGAAATATAGCGATAGACTGCTGGCTTTCTAAGCTAACAGTTAGATTTTCACTAAGTTTCTGTTAGTACCATGAACATGTTACCAGGAACCTGGCAGGATCTAAATTGTTGATGTTCATGATTCATAGTTTAAAAATTGAGAAAAGATTGCAACAATAGATGAAAAATAAAAAAAAAACTCTGAAAACATTCTAATGTACAAACAAAATTTTGGAATTTTCAAAAAATAACAAACAAAATTTTAAACTCTTTTCTAAAAAAATATTACAAGCTGAATGCAATTATTTCAATGAAACAAACCTCTACTAATTAAAACTAGGGAAATGGCTGTGTATTTTAATTGAAACTAGGTGAATGGGTGTGTATTGTAGGCTAAAAAGATACTTTATATATTAAATTTAATGTAAGTAATTTGACTTAAAGTTAGACTGAGTAACTGATAACAAAAGATATTAAAATTAATATTGAATATAAGTAACTGATAACAAAACACCACAAAAATTAACAAAAACAAAACAAAAATAAATGTTTAAATCTATTATTTTACTTTTAAATTTTTTTACCTTTTTATTTCCTTAAATTTAATATTGGGATTTTTCATATTGAGATTATCCTCAAGATCTGAATAAAGAGCTGAATAAAAAACAAAACAAAAAAATATTTAATAAAATAATAATCACAAAAGTTTAAATGTTGAAAACTTTATGAAATCTTAAAAAAAAAACAAAAGCTTACACTTTTGCTTTTGAATCACTTCCACTACAAAAGAAAAAAAACATAGAGGATCCGATATCAATGGATTAAACTCTATCATTTTCTAAAATAAAACAATATATTTATAATATAAACATAATATTTATATATATTTATAAGCAAAATAAAACAATATATTTATAATATAAATATAATATTTATATATATTTATAAGTAAAATAAAACAATATAATATAAATGAAAATTTAATAAAATTACTTAAATAAACATGAATAACTTTTTTTAAAACTTTCAAAATAAAACTAGAAGCACACAAAATCTACCTGCATATCAAAAGTCATTACTGTTGTTACTTAGCAACTGGAAACATACAGAACCTACCTGCATATCAAATTTGATGTCAATATCAACATTTGAATCTTTAAACCCAAGCAATGTTAATGAGGAACCATACAAACGACAGTGTAGATCTAAAAATACAGAAATCAGTTTTTAAAAAAATATAAAAATAAGTAAAAATTAAAACTATAAAATTTAAAAGAGAATTTTATACTGTATAAAAATCCTAAAACTTTACCTGGAGCAATCATCTTTTTTAGGCATTCTTCAAATCGTTTACATACTTCCTCTCTCAAATTTAGATCTTCTTTTGTTAAATACTGTGTTGTCAACAGCTGTTGTTCCAATATATTGTTCAATTGAAACTCATACTTATTATTCATAGCTTCAAAGTGTCTTTTCTTCTTTCGCATGATTCTTTCCTATAAAACAAATAAACAAATTAAAACCCAACAAAACATATTTTATTTTATCTATAAAGTGAATATTTTTTTAAAAACAAGGAGTTGCACTGTATATAAAAAATTTCCCTGAAATTTAGCACAAATGTTGAGAGGCATAAGCGATTAAATTTTTTTAAAGATTAAATTTTTTTAAAAAGATTAAATTTTTTTTTAAATATTAAATTTTTTTTAAATTCTACTTGTTTAGGAATTGCATCAACTTCAAGTTTAAAATGTTTTTAATTATTTAAAGTTAAAACAACAGTTTAACTTTTTTAATTTTAATATAAATCTATTTGAATTTAAGAAAATCAAGTTAAATTTTAATTTAAAAATATTCAATATTTTTACTCATGTAACTTAGTCATGTAAGTGTACTGAAAATGAGGGCGAGTGTCATCAAGAACAACTTTTGTTTTATGTACTTTTTTGATGGCAGAAAAAAAAAAGGTTTATCAGAATTAATACAAAAAAGCATAAAACAGGTACCATTTCTTCTTTATTATATATGTGATATTTAAACAATAGTATAATAGAGATAATTGTATTGTTATAAAAATAATAGATCAAACATATTTATTTGGTTGCCCATAAAATAGAAAAAATCTTTTAAGATTTAATCAGGGAAAAAACACTTTTTGACTTTTTTGACTAGTTGACTTTTTCTTTTTTTAACACTAAAATTCTTTTCTCACGGCTGTTTCACTCAATATAAAAACGAGCGTGACGTCATGAGTTTATCAAAAAAAAAGTATTTCCGCATAAAAAGTATAAAAATTCACAAACTTTAAATTAATAGTAACTTTTTTATATAAATGCTTTTATCTTGCATTTAAAAAAATATAAAAGATCTATCTTTCCTTGTTAAATAAATATTTACATTAATTGGTATAAAAATAAATATTGCCAAAATATTTTTAATAATTTAGAACCACTTTTCTAATTTTCGCATATTTTCCGGAAAACATGAGTTGGGCCAACTAAGATTTCATAACATAGCTCAGTGCTTGATAGTTGAAATTTGGAATGCTTAACCCTAAATGCCCATTCTATCAGATTCCTGCGTCATCCAAGAGATTTTTTTACAAAAAGACTGTTTTTAAAGCATTTATATTTTTTAATTAATCGTTTTTAAATGCAAAACATAACTTTTTTGATGGATGACATAAGTTAATGAAATTTCAACCTTTTATGCAAATGAAATTAAAAAAAATTTTTTACTTGCCTTCAGCTATGTTATGAAATATGTTTTCAAAAATGTCATGTTTTACAACTAATCTTGTTAGTTTTAGGCGTACATTTGTGTTGACGTTTTTTTTGCAATGACGTAACCTTTATGCGTTACGTCCCAAACTATTTATTAACGAATATTCTCCAAACAACTGTTTCGGCGAGTCAATTTTTGAAGTATAAAGTAAACAAAGTTACGCAGAATTTTTCTCTTTGGATTATCAAACTAATATCAGATAAGTTGTTAAATCCACTTTTATCTTGTGCATATATTTGTTAATTAATATTATTTTATTTGTTTTTATTATATTGATTAATAAGTCAACATTATTTTGATAACTATGTATTCAACTGAGAGGGAAATTTTAAAACATCATATAGGATGGAAAAATGGTTGGGAAGATAGGTGTAACTTTCCTTTTGTTAAGCGATTAATTAGGACAGATAAGATCAGTAACAATGTCATTTCCATTTTAATGACAGTCTTTAAAATAAGAAGTGATTTATTTAGTTTTATGAGTTTTCTTTTGGCAATTGATTTTGATATGCCTAGTAATGACGAGTTTGATAAAATGTGCCTAAAGTTAACACGACAAAAAAAGAAATATAAAAAAAATTTTAAAGCTATAAAAAACGAAGAATTTTTTAAAATGCAACTGTCGCAAGCTCCACCCCAAAAAAAAAAAATCAGCAGATGCAGATGACTTTTTCACTTTAAATAACAGTCAGGAGCTACTGAATCAAATTGATCAATTAACTTCTGAAAATAAAACAAATATGGAGCAAATAGAAAAATTTAAAATGCAAGTATTTAAGTTGGAAGCTGAAATTACAGATTTAAATTCTAAAAATAGGGCTCTCAACACACATTGTAACTCATTAAGTTCTCAATTAGAGACTATGAGTATTAGGCTAAAACAGGAGGAGCAGTTCCAACTTTAAAAAAAAAAAATTAAAACAGCACAGCGTAAATTTGCATCTGCTCGTGCCAAAAATGTAAGATTGCTAAAAAAAATTAATATTGAAAAAAGAATTGCAAAAATTAGTGATTTAAGCCAGAACAGTTGCCAAATTTGCAAATGTTTTGCTAGTAGCAATAAGGATTTAGTTGTGGTTGATTCTTATTTAGACTACGACAACATTGGTTCCTCTGAATTATTTTGTGGGTTTAAATTAAGTAATCCACAGAATATATCAGTTAAAAAGCCAATAGTTAGTAAAAAATATACTTACATTAAGTTAGGAAATGGTAAACCTTATTCTAAGTTAGGTAGGCATGCTGCAGCTAAACGATCTAAACTTGCTTTTATATTCCTTCGATTATTAGCTTGTTCAGATTTAGAAAGTGATTTGTCTATGTTGTTTTGTGATTCTATGTCTTGTGAAAAGTCAATATTTTGTTGTGTTGCAAATAAGTTGGGTTTAGTTAAGTGTTAGTTAAGCAGTTAAGTGTTTCTGATGTTGTAGAGCTACAGAGCCAATTAAGGATGTCCACGGCTGAATTCCGTAGACTAAGACGTATTCTGTGTAATCTTGGTGCAAGGATTCTCCGATCTGAGCCCAAGATGAGACAAGAACAAGAAATGCGGACAATGCATGTCAATAAAGAACATGTCACTGTGAAGTCCATGTTATTTTATCCATCTGCGAATGAAGCACCTTGTTTAGTATCTGTACTGATGGTCAAGAATTTGACAACTTATATTGAAGAGGTTTTTACTAATCTTTATGTACGCGACCTTAATTCGGATGTCGGTTTTGGCGAAGAAGTATGGCTCCTTTTTGCTGGTGATAAGGGTGGGAAATATATGAAATTCCATTTTTAAGTTAAGTTAAGTTTTAAGAATTAAGACAGTTGCATTCAGTAAGAAATCAGGAGCAAAAGCTGCATCTTGTTTTAAAACGCTTTGAATTGCACAGCAAAGCTGATAGGAAGCTTCAAGCCTCTAAGGTGAGAAAGTGTGTTGTGTGTTCTGAGCGTGGCGAAAATTCATTTTATAGACAAGGTCTTTGTCTTGTTTGTGGTCATCAAATTTAGTTAAAATATTTAAAAAATTAAAAACAACAACAACAAAAAAAACTATTTAAAAGTAAGATAAATTATATGAGATCTTTAATTTGTATATAAGATAATTTTATTCTGTTCTAATATCTGTGTAATGTTAGTTTAAAATATTATTTTTTAATATATTGATTTTATATATAAGGTAGGTGCCCATTCTGTTCCTAGCTTCAGAAGTTATTTATACCTATGCAATACCTTCGCTTAGGTTAAAGAATGGAATACTAGTCTTGCATCAAATGTATGTAAAAATCTAGCTTTTATATATTAACTTGTGATCAGAGCAACTGGTATGTTGGTTGGGTATGATCTTGTATGTTTGTGTATTTAATTTAAAAGATATATTGTCCTTCATTATATGTAACATTTTTTTATAGATATATTACATATCCATTCGATGTTTATCACCAGAAGTTAGAACCTTTGCAGTACCTCTGCTTTACATACCTCCTCGCTGGTTAAAGAATGGAATATAAATCTCATATCAAGTTGGTGTAAAAATTTAGTTCAATAAATTAAGAATTTATAAACGTTATCAAAATTTTGAGTGGAGCAATTGTTTTTCTGGTTTAGCATGAGTATGAATCTGATATCAATTGTATGTACAAAGATAGTTTACTTCTTAAAGAACCTATCAGTAAACCAACTGATTATAAAACAGTTTTTAATGGGAATAAAAACAATTTTTCAAAAGATATCAATTAGCTATTTGTATATTCAAACACTTTATTTACTGAGAGAAGAGACTATAGATTCAAGTGCTATAAAATAATTCTACTACCAAAAGCGAGGTTAATTCAAAAACTTAAACTCAAATTTGGTCATGAATTATTTTATTAGACTTGGTGAGTCTTTATTTATTAACAACTTAACACCATATTATTAGAACTGTATGCACAGAAAAAAATAAATGCTTTAGCTTTAAATGTTTTGACTAAATATTCCAAAATTGAAACAGCCGTGTTCTAGAACTGAAATTTTCACTAAAAGTAACTCATACATATTGTTATTGATTTCAATTTTCTACACTTTGATTTTGGAAATTATTTATAAATCAGTATATCATTTACATATACTCACAAAATATTTATTGATATAAAATATAAAACAAATAACTTAAATAATTTAAATGAACTTACAGATTCAGCTTTGTGCGTACCAGTTCTACAATGTTTTAAAATTTCATTTTGACCAGTTACTTGCTTTTTGCAAAGAAAGCAGAATATATCATAGTTGTTTTTATCAGACTGCAATAAAAAAAAGAAATAAAAAATTGTTAAAAAAAAAGTTTAAGCGATAAAAATGAATGATGAAACTATTCATCATTATTTTATACATATACAAGCCTTTTATATATATATATATATATATATATATATATATATATATATATATATATATATATATATATATATATATATATATATATATATAATAATAATAATAGAGTTTGATTATTTGAAAAAATACAACTTTTTGATGGTACTTGAAGTTTCATGCCCTTCGGCAATCATCAGCCATATTTTATTCTTTTAAAACAAGAAAAACCGTTAAAAAATACAAAATACAAAAATTAACAGAAAAAACAATAACAAAGCAATAGAATGAGTTCTGACGTCAAAACAAAATTTTTAATTAGAAAATTGTTTAATCAGCCGTGTCGAAGTGGGCGAGAAGAAACTTGTTTCGATGCCTGCATTTGGATATCATTTCACTTTTTTTGTTAATTAGATTTTTATTTTTGGAAAACAGAATTTGATATTTTTCATTTATACACAGTTTGCAAGACTTCATGGTTGGGTTGTAAGCATTGCACTGCCTAATTATTTTCCATTTAATAACTGGATTTAAATTTGCATCTTTCAGTTTCCAAAATTCTTTTGATAGTTCAGTGTCATTTTTGTATTTTTGAATGGTAAAAGATTTTACATGGTTGGCATATCTAATTTTGAATGGTGTTTCGCTTATACCGATGTATAGTTTGATGACAGGATTGGTAGTAGGATTAGTTGAACTTATTTTAGCTTGGTATACAATGTTTTTTGTTAAGCATTGGTTTGATAGAGGGCAGGTGTTTTTATTAAGGCAGTTGCAATTGGTTTTAGGTAGATCTTTTTTGTTGTTCATAATTTGTCGATTGTGTGCATTTAGGATAGATTTCATGTTCGGCATACAGCTATAACTTACTTTTATGGTGTTTCTGTTGAAGATTTTGTGGAACTTGTGGTTTATTGGGAAGTGTTTGTTGACTAAAGTTAAGAAGCTTTTTCCTATGTTAGTGCTTACATTTTTGCTGAAAGGTGGGTTAAACCAAATGATGTTGCGTTTACGGTTTTTTGTATAAGGTGAATTTAAATTAGGGTGGTATGAAAGTTTATGATTAAAACCGGACTTTAACAGTGCGTCATTGTATGCAGGGGTAGATCTTTGGAAAATTTCTTCACTTGAGGAATTTGCAGACAATCTTAACTCAATTGAATGCGGAAGCTGTTTTAAAATATTTGGCGGGTGGTTTGAATCAGTGTGAATATAATTTAAAGAATTTCCGGGCTTAGAATATGGTTGGAAAGTATGGTCATTTAGATTTAATGTGACGTCGAGGTAATTTACAATTTTCATGTTGCATTGTATTGATATATTGAGTTCGTTTTTTTTAAATATTTCAACAAGATGTTTTTTAATTTTTTCCATTTGGGGGCCACTCATGTTTTTAAAAACTGCTAAGCCGTCATCGCGGTATAGTCCGAAATCATTTTTATTATAAACCTGTGCAACTTGAGACAATAGATAAATTCCCACGAGTTCACAAACTTCAGCTCCGTCAAATGCTCCCATTGAAACATCGAATAAACCGCCTGATTTTTTAATCCAAACTTGATCATCATTATATAGTAATGACTTCCTTGCGTGATAGATCAATGATTTATGGTTAGGTTCAATATTTAGATGTTGTTCAGCGAAATGGATAGCATTGTTGAGTAATTTTTCTGTTATTGATGGGTAAAAATCAACAATGTCAAAAACAAGGAATTTACAAAGGTGTTTATTTCTGATGCAATTAAACCAGTTTGTGGTATCTTGTGTTTTTTTCCATTGATTGAGGTGAAGTTTATTGACAAGTTCAGAGTTTATATTAGAAAGTATAACTTTGCTAATTCTGCCGATTTCGTTTTTGGCGGGGTTTAATAAACGGACAGTTGGATTGTTTGTAAAGTTTTCTTTATGGTCTTTTAATTTTATAAAGCAATTTGAAGGTGTGTTAATATTAATTTTATTAAAAACGTCGTGATTCTGTAATATCTGTTTACCTTCTTTATTTATTTGGTTTTTTATTTTTGTATTCGATTTTTTGTATGTTGAGGTGATAGCGTTTGTAAGTAAATGGAAAAAATTAAAAAACATCTTGTTGAAATATTTAAAAAAAACGAACTCAATATATCAATACAATGCAACATGAAAATTGTAAATTACCTCGACGTCACATTAAATCTAAATGACCATACTTTCCAACCATATTCTAAGCCCGGAAATTCTTTAAATTATATTCACACTGATTCAAACCACCCGCCAAATATTTTAAAACAGCTTCCGCATTCAATTGAGTTAAGATTGTCTGCAAATTCCTCAAGTGAAGAAATTTTCCAAAGATCTACCCCTGCATACAATGACGCACTGTTAAAGTCCGGTTTTAATCATAAACTTTCATACCACCCTAATTTAAATTCACCTTATACAAAAAACCGTAAACGCAACATCATTTGGTTTAACCCACCTTTCAGCAAAAATGTAAGCACTAACATAGGAAAAAGCTTCTTAACTTTAGTCAACAAACACTTCCCAATAAACCACAAGTTCCACAAAATCTTCAACAGAAACACCATAAAAGTAAGTTATAGCTGTATGCCGAACATGAAATCTATCCTAAATGCACACAATCGACAAATTATGAACAACAAAAAAGATCTACCTAAAACCAATTGCAACTGCCTTAATAAAAACACCTGCCCTCTATCAAACCAATGCTTAACAAAAAACATTGTATACCAAGCTAAAATAAGTTCAACTAATCCTACTACCAATCCTGTCATCAAACTATACATCGGTATAAGCGAAACACCATTCAAAATTAGATATGCCAACCATGTAAAATCTTTTACCATTCAAAAATACAAAAATGACACTGAACTATCAAAAGAATTTTGGAAACTGAAAGATGCAAATTTAAATCCAGTTATTAAATGGAAAATAATTAGGCAGTGCAATGCTTACAACCCAACCATGAAGTCTTGCAAACTGTGTATAAATGAAAAATATCAAATTCTGTTTTCCAAAAATAAAAATCTAATTAACAAAAAAAGTGAAATGATATCCAAATGCAGGCATCGAAACAAGTTTCTTCTCGCCCACTTCGACACGGCTGATTAAACAATTTTCTAATTAAAAATTTTGTTTTGACGTCAGAACTCATTCTATTGCTTTGTTATTGTTTTTTCTGTTAATTTTTGTATTTTGTATTTTTTAACGGTTTTTCTTGTTTTAAAAGAATAAAATATGGCTGATGATTGCCGAAGGGCATGAAACTTCAAGTACCATCAAAAAGTTGTATTTTTTCAAATAATCAAACTCTATTATTATTATTATTATTGATCTATTTTGTAAACACTTACATTATATTGATCACTCTCAAACGAACAAGAGATTTTTGTATCTTAATTTGGTACAATAAAACAACAATATATATATATATATATATATATATATATATATATATATATATATATATATATATATATATATATATATATATGTATATATATATACACATATATATATATATATACATATAATTACATATGTATATACATATATTAAATATATATATATACATATAAATATATATTAAATATATATATATATATATATATATATATATATATATATATATATATATATATATATATATATATATATATATATATATATATATATATATATATATATTATATATATATATTATTTTATTTAATCTAAATCAATCTAAATCCAAATCATTTTTGTTTTGCTGTTTTTAATTTATTTGAAATAGCAAACAAAATTCAGTTTTAAAATTCTAAGGTCAGCAAAATATTGCTAACCTCAGAATTTTGAAAAGTTTATACTGTCAGGCTGGCAGTTAGGTGAATTCCGACCCTAATTTAGAGGATTAAAGCCAAATGTTTATTAAATATTGTTAATAAACATTTTTTTATTATTTACCTTTTTATTGAAACAATAAATTTCATTCATCTCTTCCCATTTTTGAATGATATCCATCTGTGTGAATAAAAAAATAACGATTTTATTTCTTATATTTGAATGATACACATCTGTGTAAATAAAACATTAGAATGGTTATACTGGAAACAGTCATTTGCTTCAATGTATTGTTGTTAAATAAATACATTGCTGTTGCTTCAGCCTATAAATCAACTGAGAAATAGAGTTTGGACAGGTAGTATCTATATATTAAAGACATTACCAGGAAAAAAATGTATTTATTTAATTATTATTCTTTACCATATTAGTCTGAAAAAGTGTAATTATTAAAGTCAAGGATTATGGATAATATATGTAAGGATACAACTTTCTAATAATTTTTTGTTAATTTTTATTCTTAAAAGGTGCACTTTAGAAAATAGATTCTAAAAAGATTTTTAGAAAACTAAGAATATGAAGAAAAAATAATTTTTTTTATGTTTTTTTTATAGTAAAAGTTCTTTCTTATCTAAATAGTACTTGCATAACCCAAGCCCTCAGTTGATGTATGTACTGAAGCCCCCACAGCAGCTTATTTCAGTATATAATCAGTGTATATCTAATGTTGTGTTTATACATTCATATACACACACCATGTGCATTCAGATAAGCACAGCTAAAGAAAACAAAAATGAGGAATTATTTTTAAAAATATATATAAATTGTTAATTAAATTACGCTAAAATATGGTTACAATTTCAGCAGACAGTATCTATCCATAAAATAAATCAATTTTCAAAAAAAAATAAAAAATCTCATCACACAAACACAAAGTCTTACAATATTAATTTTAAAAAATAATTATAAAAACATACCTTAGCCTCATACCTTTATATCTTGATAGATTATTTCATATTTTTGTATTTAATTGCTACATAATTCAACATTCTATAGAATACAACAACTGTTACTATATCAACAAATACAATTTTAAATATAAAACTAAAGTAAAAACGAACAAAAATAATTAGAAAAAAAAGTTCATCTCTTTCTTTTTACAAAATGAAATTTAAAAAATTATATAAAATACAATTTATAAACTAATATTTATGAAAATTTAATATTTTTTACAAACAAACATAGAATGATCACCACATAAATAAAAATTTTCAAAAACTTTTGAGCGAAAAACTTCTAGAGTCCCTTCCAAAATATGCTTCTCAACTAAATCAATCAAGAAATTCAACTCACCACTACTTTCAATAAGCTTATACTGCGAAAAATGTGCTCTCCATTTTGGATCCGAAACATTTTCTATTTTAAAGTATACTGAAGGATCAGCAAGACAAGCACCTGGTCTTGATATATGAGCAAAATCAGAAAAACCACATTTTTTAAGAAGTGCAATAGTGTTACTTTTATTGAGTCTTAAAGCTTTCATATTGTTAAAAGCAATGGGACAAAAAGGACCCCACCATATACTATTAAAGTTTTCATCAAACATAGCATCAATTAATAACAAACCCCCTGGCTTTAAAACACGATAAGCTTGAGATATAGCTTCTGTACATCTTGGATGATCATGAAAACTACGACTGACTGTAGGTGAATCTAAGTGGTGAAGAACTTGAGTAAATGTAACCACATCAAACTGTGCTGATGGAAAATCTATAACTGGTAAAACAGATAACCTAAACTCCACTTTGCCTTCATAGTTAGCGCATTTTTTCTTTGCACATTCAATCATTCCTTTTGATGCATCAATCATAGTTAATTGATTTAAACCATTCTTTAAAAAAGCAAGGCCATAATTACCCGTTCCACAACCAGCATCTAAAACACTGATCTGAAAAAATATTATAAAAGGAACCTTAAAAATATAAAACTACTCTTCAAAATAAAAAAACATTTTTAAACTTATTAAAACTTGAAAACAAACAACTTTAACACAATGGACATATAACAGACAATTTTTATACATCTATTTTATTATTATAATATTTAATTATAATTATGTAGCAAGGAGTTCAGATTTCAAACCCACCAGGGAAAAGTAATGCATTTTACTTAATAATGCATCAGCCTTATGCAGTGGCGTGCTGGCCCCAGAGGCTACGCGGGAATCCTGCTTGGACCCTTTTAGGATAAAAGGCAATTTATCCTAAAAGGGTCTTTTTTGAATTTTTATACCCTTTACTACAATCACAAATGATATTTATTTGCTTTATTTTTTATTCCACAAGTTAAATTCTTTAACAAATCTCTGATTCAAACTGTTGGACTTCAAACGCATATATATTTGTAATTTTCATAATAAAATGCAACTGTTAGTAACTTTTGCCTCAGAACAAAAATGTTATTGGAAAAAATAATTGATCGTTACGTCACTTAAATTGCTTATTATATCAGTCATTATATAGATAAAATTATTAAAATTAGCCAATGATTATTATGAGAAATAATTGCGTTTAATTTTAAATTATAGAAAAATATTCATATTGATAAAATTTTTGTTAAATTAGAATGATTAATTTTTTTTCATAAACAAAAATTGTAACGCTTTTAAATATAAATAATTTGTGTGAGTTTTTATAAAATTGCACTTATTGTATGTACTACTGCTATTTAAAAAGTAGTTAAATATTTTTTCTATATATACAAATAAAGAAATAAAACATTTTATTTCCATTTGAAAGTATTCCGGTTGAAACAAATATTTAACAACTTTAATAACCACTTTTTCGTAAAATCTGTTTGTTATAATTATAGCTTATAATTATAGCTAATAATTATGTTATAATTATAGCTTGTTATAATTATAGCTTATAATTATAGCTTATAATTATGTTATAATTATAGCTTCTTCTTTTTTTAAGATTTGACAAAATGGATATAAATCTTTAAATTATTAGTTATTAAAATAATTATATATATCAATAACATATATATTTAATAACACGACTAAATAATTATACAGTTATTACTAAAATATAGCAGACATTATTTTGTTTACTCATTATTTTGTTTTGAAACTCACTAGATAAAATGACGATACAAACAAAACCAAAATCAATGTAAAAAAATTAGCTGATTTTGAAAAAAAAAGGTTTCTTTTAAAACTTTGTTTATATAACATAAAATACAATAATTCTTGTATATTTAATAACGCTAAAACAAAAATATATTATATATATATATATATATATATATATATATATATATATATATATATATATATATATATATATATATATATATAGTATAATAGTATATATACTTTTTAAATTTTAGCCTTAATGTTTTTTAAACAATAAAATAGAAAGCCTATTTGGTTACCATAAAAACGTGGTGAAACTTGTTTATTTTTAGAAATGAAAACATAAACATATGGTAGCTTCACTGGTGTGATGGCATATGCAGATTATATCATACTTATAAGCTCTACCCTCTCTGGTCTCAAAAAGCTGATAAAAACATGCAATATTTACAGTAATTTAAATTGTATTTAAAAAAATACCGAAAAAACTGAATTCTTGATTTCAGGTAAAGCACAAATACAAACCAATATGATAACAATTTCTAGTAATAAAATAAATCTTCAGAATAAACTTAGACATCTGGGATTTACATGGGATACAAAACATTCAACTTTTACTTCACTCAATGATACAAATGTTGATGAAAAAATTTCAAACTTTAGGGCTGTTGTTCAAACTCTTATTAAATCTGGAAACCTATACCTTTTTGGCTGCTAAAATTTTAAAATTTAATTCAAAATAAAAAAAAGATAAAAATAGCAATTTTCTAAAAGTAAAATTCCCACCGAAGTTGAACAAACTTTGAAATATGCAATAGTGCTGGAATGCGAAACAACAAAGGGAAATTTTGAAACAAATTCTGGAAGAAAAAATTTTAATTCTAAGGAAATCAAAAAATCTTGTTGCTTTAGTATGTTAATTTAACTGGATAAGGTCAGTTTTTTATTGATATATATATATATATATATATATATATATATATATATATATATATATATATATATATATATATATATATTTAAATATATATTTAAATATATATATATATATATATATATATATATATATATATATATATATATACATATATATATATATATATATATATATATATATATATATATATATATATATATATATATATATATATATATATATATATATATATATATATATATTTAAATATATATATACAAATGTGGGCCTTCAAATCATGCATATTTGGCAAAATACAGCATATATCCCACAGAAAAAATCCCGCATGTGCTTTTTAGAGCCAGCACCTGGCCTTATGAAAGTTCATATTTTGGTGTTATAGAATTAAGAAAGAGATATACAAACAATTAAAATTATATATCCCTAGATTACAATTTATCAAATTAGATTAGATTTATAAGTTTTTTTTCTTTGTTTTTATTTATACATATTAAATTTAAAACTTAGCTATAAAAATACTATTATATATCTATTTTTATTTTTAATTAATTATTATGCAATGTTTTAATATTTTTACTCGTTTAATTAGAAAAATGAATATATATAAAATATATATATCTTTATTGAGATTGATTAAATTATATCTATGATTTAATCAATATCAATCTCAATAAAAATATATAGATATGATATTAATTAAAATATATAGATATGATATTAATTAAAATATATAGATATGATATTAATAAAAAAAATATTGATATGATATTAATTAAAATATATAGATATGATATTAACTAAAATATATAGATATGATATTGTTAAATTTTCAATCACTCTTAATACTCTTATTTAAATTTGTTTAGGCAAAGTGAAGAACAAAGATGAAGGGATTTCTCTTGACTCAGCAAATCTTTTACAAGAAAATAATCTGTAATACAAGGTAATATAATGTGTAATACAAGAAAATATAATAATAATAATGTAATGTAATGGTGTATAATAATAATAATGTAATGTAATGTAATAAGGTAATATAATGTGTAATACAATGTTGGAAATACTACAACTGTTATAAAAAAAGTAGAGGAATAGTGAAGTGAAAAAGTAGAGGAATTGTAAAGTAAAAAATTGAGAAGAAGATTAAGTTTAAGATGCTTCTATAGAATTGATTGTGATTTCACCAGTAAAATTGAAAAGTGTTCCTAAAACACAGTTTTCAATATAGACAGAGTTTAAAAAATGTTTTTAAACTCTGTGTAAAAATCAACAGGTATCCAATATTACAAAGGGCTAAAAGATGGGGATAAAAGCATACAGGAATAAAAAGGTAATATTAAAAAATTAAGGCAATGTGAAAATTATGTAGACAGCATGGCATAATTGAAGCTTAAAAACTATGTATATAAGTGTGTGCGCCTTATGTAGAAAATACAGAGAGGCTAAAATGCTATAAGAAATCTGAACATTAGAGGATGTGTATGATTCAAAAACATGCAACAAAAAATTTTTTTATATATAAAAAAAAAAAAGATAAATGGTTACAAAGCAAATATATGAGCAGCAGTATTTAAAAGAAAAACATTAAAAATTTGATAGTGGTGACATTCCATAGACATTCCATTTATGAAGTAAACGCCTCATCTAAATAGGCTAAATGTGTGTTTACTATTGCACAAATAAGTAACAATATATAATGAAAAAAATGATGCAAAAGTTAAGCCTATGAGGTAGATACATACATGAACAAAACAACACATGAATTTATATAAACATATATGCATTACAAAGACGCATTCATATAGGAACCATATATACTTGTTACATAAAAATTATACAAATATATTTTACAAACAGATAGCAATATATATTTTTGCTTTACTCTTCAAAAACAAAAACAAATAAAATATAGGAAAATCATTTTTTTTTTATGTTGACATTTTTTTTTTTTTTGCTTCATTCAATTTCACTACTAAAAATAACAACCAACCTAAACAACAAAAATAAAAACAGTACAAATTATTTAAATTATTAATTTTTCTTATTTTTTCTATTTTAATTTCCTATTTTGTTAGTTTTGCTTCATACGTTTTTGAAATTTTTTCCGCAAAGTATTGAAATGCCTAATGTAATAAAACTTGCAAACAGCTATGACCAAGTTGTCTAAAATAAAAACTTATGCATGGACATGAGATGAAAAATTACACACACCTCCTGGGAAGGTTTGAAACATGTACTCTTGGGTGCTTAACACACATGAAGAGACATTGATTAGTTTTCAGAAATTTTTCCCACTCATCCCATGCTTATTTAGACCCTCCGTTTATGAATTTTGACTTGTTATCAACAAAATAAAAACACATCAAAACAAAAAAAACAAAAAAACAAAAATTAGAAGAAATATATTATGATTTTTTGATATTTTTTTAGTGGGATTTTTTTTCCAGTGTAATTAGGCTTTAAAAATTGTCAACCTTTAAAAAATCTCAATTTGTCAAAATTTAGATTTTTATTTATTTTTTACTATAGTATAAAACTTATGTAAGCATATTAAATTCTATTGAATTACAATGAAACAGCTGTTAAAAAATATGCATTTGACCGCAAGACACACTAGAATTAAATTATTTATTTGTGTTCTGTAAGAGATTCCCACCCACCTTATTAAGAACCCTCCTCCTCCCTCTTTTATTAGATCTGGACTAAAATTCCCCCTGGTATTAAGCACCCAAGAGTATTCATAAAATTTAAAAAAATCTTTATAAGTTAAAATGATGATTACTTACACAACTAAAACTTGTTAAACTATTAAAGTAAATGTTAAATTTAACAAATACTTACACAAAAAAAAAGTTATAGACAATAAAATAAACTTAGCTTTTTTATTTGCCTAAATAAAAAAAAATCATTAATTTTTTTGAAAATACTTCTAATATATCTAATATACCTCCTTCACAAATGTTTTATAAAAATAATTTATGCAAATTATGCATAAATTATTTTTTTACTTATTTTAAGTAAAACAGCAGTAAAAATTAAGACTTTAAAACTTAATCTAATACTTGCAATGAAAAGTTTCTAAGCAAGAAAATGATAAAAATAAAAAAAAATAGAAAAACTTAACCAGCATCTGACCCAATTTATTTGACAAAACTATTTAAAACTAAATCGCCTATGCTTGAATAAGTTTTCTTAAATTTGTTTAATAATTAGCAAATGGTCACCAGCTTGTTAATCTCTGATCTGGTATAGTACAAATCTTGTACTATATACAAATCTTGCAAAAAAGTTTTAATAATAGTGTGACTTGCAAAATAGCTATTAAGTCATTCCAGTTTAGCCTCTAACTTTAATTTTTATTTTTGTTAGTTTTATATGCTTTAAAAAACTTATAAAAACAATATATAATCAATAAAATTTGAATGCTAAACTTTTATGATTATTTTACAATTCAAAAGATAACTTTCCAAATTTAACTATACTGGAAATGCAAGTGAACTGCGAATTATTTTTGATCAGCTAGCTAACCTAACAAATAAAAATAATTATAATATAGTTATAATTAATATAATTAATAATTAATATAACCAGAGGTGCGGAGTCATAAAAAAAAAGTACAGACTCTGACTCTAATCATTGAAATTTTCAGAGTACAACTCTAACTCCAACTCTTTGAATTCTTTAAAAAAAATTTTGCCAAATATATGAAAAGTTCATTAAAGGTTAAATATTTTATAGATGCACGTGCAATACCAAGAAGTTTTACTATTGGAGTCGGAGTCTCGATTTTGTTTAGTGACTCCGCTAAAAATGTTGTGACTCAGACTCCACGACACAGACTCCACAGTCCTGAATATAACAATTATAAATAATTATAATATAGTTATAATATAATTATAATTAATAAAACTTGAACTTGTTACATTTTTAAGCTATAGATTTTTAGAACAGTTAAAAAGTTTAATGTCTATAGTCTCACACTTAATTTGGGCAGGATTCCCCAATTAATTATATATGAGGTTATAAAATGGATAAAGCAATTTTTAAAATCTTTATAATCAAATACAATTTTTACAATCTAGTCTTTCCTGACATTTTTCCATATTAAAACTGAGTTGATTATGACTTTGCTACACAAATATTCTAGATCGCAATCTCAAGAGTCACAATGATCAAGAATCGCTTTATTAAATATTAATATATTAGTTGCTTTCAGCATGGTTAACATGCATTACTTGACAGTAAATCAAATAGAAATAAAAAAGAGCATTTTCAGTTAAGAGAAACTCACTGATTCTAATTTTCTTAACAAGTCTTTGTTATCAAAATTCAGTATTATCAAGCAATTTCTAATAATGTATAACAACTAATCAATAAAAAAAATTTCATGTAACATAATTATAAATTGAAATTACATTACACATTATAATTAGTGTACAGTAAAAACTAACTACTAAAAACACAAACTAAAAAATACTGACTGAAATATATATATTGCTAAAGTAGACTGAAAATTTTTTTAAAGGTTTTACCTGCGATAAATCCTTTTTTAATAACCCAGAAAATAAAGCACACATAAAATCAGCACCATCAGCTATGCGTGCTTGATCGTAGCCAATACTAGCTTCTTCATAGTTGTAATATATACTCATTTTATCTGCAAATAAACAATTTAGATAAATATAATTTATCTTAATTGTTTGTGATTTTATATCATATACTTTATATGAATATTCTTATTAACAAAATGTTGTTTAATTCTTATTAAGTTTTATTTACAAAATGTTGTTTAATTTTGTTAATAAAAGTTTTTCAACTTTTATTAACAAAATGTTAATTAATGAAATAATCAAATAAAATTATTTCTAAAAATTTGAATTTAAAATATTTAATTATTGGCATTATAAAAAGTAAAATCAGTCAAATATACTTTCAAAAGTTATAAAATAAAACTAATAAATAAGAATATATAAAATATAAATATCATTACAAAAAATGTCATTGTATTTCTGATTTTCTAGATGCCTGAATGTCAAAATTAAAAACTCTTTTTTACAAACTAGACATTTTTTATTATGCATAAAATGTTGTTTTGTTTTTTATTTGTATATAAAAAAAACTTTAAAAAAAGTCAATCTAGTGTTATTTTTCAATTGTTTTAACTCCAAAAACAGAAATTTTTACCTCATAAAACTTGAAATATACTTTACAGATAAGTTAATAAAATAACACTAATAAAAATAACAACACTAATAAAAATAACAACAATAAAGATAACAACAATAACAACTACAATAATAAGATTAACACCAATAACAATAAAAATGGTAAAAATAATGTTAAAAATAAAGTAATAATAGTATTAAATTAAAGAAACAATAAAAACGACATTTTTAAAATTAGGATAATGCTGAACTAAATTACATGTGTACACTAAACTTAAATTTAATTCAAAATTTTTAAAAATTTAAAGACTCACAAAAATAAATATCTGCTTATGCAAAATTATGTAGATAACAATTTAAAATAATTAATTAATTTATAAACTAAATATTGCTGTTTTGAATAAAGTACACAACCTATATAATTACATACAATGTATAAATAATTTTTATTTATTGCAAATTATAAACAATTTAACTGAACAAAAAAAAAGTGAAAATTTTTATTTTTGGTTCTCTAGTTATCATCTTCATTTTTGAGAAAAGTCAAAAAGCAATGATTTTGATAACTATAACAACTTAATATTTTTAAATTAAATTAAGCAGAGTTGATGAAAAATAAAACAAAACAGTATTTTGTATATACTAAAAACTAAAATTCCCTTCTACTAGTTTTATTGTTTGAATCAAATAATCTGCTGCAAGCTTAAATTTACTAATTTGTATATATTAATAATAATGATAATAACAATAATAATAATAATAATAGCAATAATAGCAATAATAATAATAGCATTAATAGTTATAATAATAATAACAATAACAATAATATTAATAGCAATAAAAATAATAATAATAATAATAATAATAATAACAATAATAGTAACAGCAATAATAATAATTATAATAAAAATAATAACAACAATAATAATAGCAATAATATTAATAAAAGTAACAACAATTTTTATTAGCTGGAGCCAAGCTGTGACAGTGGAGCCTGTAAAAAGCCTTTTTTTTTTTTTTTGCGATTTAATAGTTATTAAAAATTTTTTAAATAAAAGTGTTAATTTAAAACAAAAATGCTAACATATCACTTGACAAAATTGTGTAGGGATGCGAAATTTTAGCTAGAATCAGGGCTGAGAGAATTGGCTCTGGCTCACAAAAAAGAGAAAATTATAAACAAACTATTATTTTCAAAATTATTTGATTATTTTTGTAACTATTTTTTGAACTATTTGTGATAGCAATATTAATTTTATTAGTAACATAATAACAATATTTATCACCATTTTTGCATTTTGACAAGACAAATCTGAGCAGAACCATGAAAAAAATATGTCCATGCTGATTGGGCTTTTATTATTATTTATTATTTTATTTAAATTATATAATTATTTTTATTGAGTATAAATTTATATAATTATTAATTTTTTAAAATTTCAATATTAATAATTGTAGAAACCTAAAAATATTTTAAGAAAAATTTATAAGAAATTACTTTTAATTTATCTGTTAGACTAAAGATTAAACTTCAATTTTCATAATTTGTAAATCTATTTATACAATTAACAATAAATTTATTTATTTATTCAAAATTCAATAAATAAATTTAATTTGTATTTAAATTTTAAAACAATTTTAATGTAATGCTTTTAATGATTTGAATTTAAATTAAAAAATAATTTTTTTAATTAAAATTAAGAAATAATTTTTTAAACTGAAGTTACCTTATTACTTTTTTCTCAGTTTCTTATTATATTTGTCAAGCTTGCCAATTCTAAACTGTTTTTTATTTTTACTATAATTGATTTTTGCTAAGTTTCAAAATCAATTGCTTAAGTAAAAAGGCTTACAACTATATCAAATAAGTTACAGTTGATATAGTAACTGCATTTTATAAACAGGTATAAAAAAAAATTTGTCTGACATTAATCAGATATCAAACTTCAAAAGGCGTGCTTTTTTCCTTTTCATATCATCGAGACTGGATATATCAATTGACTTTGCAACAGATTTAAGTTTAGTGTCTTCATTTTTTCTGCCAACAATTGCAGCATGGATTTTTGATTTGATTACTGAAGTCAGCTTGCTAACACTGTACTGTTTTCTTAAACTTTTGTTTGATTTACTATCTGTTTCTTCAGCTAATGAACGTCTTGATTCATAAACAAATTCTTGGCTTCGAAGACGTTTATTTGCAGAAAAAAATAAAGGCGAACCTCTGCGCTTAGTAAATTGTCTTTTTTTATCAAAATTTGTATGAAATTCACTTTCAAAATCATCTGAAGAATACATAATGTTCTCCTCACATCTTACTTTATTTAATATTGAAACTATTGATATAGCAAGCTTATTATTTCCTGTTTCAACTAAATGTAAGCAATCTGAATAATAAAGTTTTACATTCAAGTCGCCATCTTCTAATGTCCAATCAACATCTTGTTTCATATAAAAGAAATTGTTTAACTTATTTTTACACAACTTTTTTAAAAAATTATTTGTCTGCAAAATTTTCTCTCGCCGAAAAGAACTACTAAAAGAGTCTCGTGGTAAAAGTCCAGTAACAATGATTTTTATGTTTGGGTTATATTCTTGGAAAACAAGTCCAATAGATATAATTCCATTAGCAATGTCTTGTGAATTATCATGATCTAAGTTGTTAGTTCCACAATGAATAACAATATATTTTATTGCGTGACTTAAAGTTAGATTTTCTGCACGCCACAGAACGTGTTGTGTACGATCACCACCAATACCAAAATTAAGAGCTTTTAATGGATTAAAATACTTTCTCCATACATTATGATAACGAGATAACCCTGCTATGATGGAATCACCAATTAAAATAACTTCAGATTTTGAATTAACAGCTAAGGCAGCATGTTTGTTGTGAGTTTCAAACCATCCAGCTTTGTTATCACGATATGATGGGGTAGTTGCTGGTGATATATTAGTGCAATAAAAAGAATTTGTTCTCTCAGACTGGTTTGATTTCTTCCTTTTTTCACAAAATGATAATGGGTCATATGTGCTGTGATTGATTGGTGAAAAGTTGTTTACTGATGAACTAACTAAAGTTATAGTTTTTTTGATTTCGTTTTTAGACATTTTTTAGAACTAAAACTAAAAATAAAACAAATTTAAAAAAAAACTTAAAAATTTACCATATATAACTTTAAAAAGTTATTTTAAATAATTTATTCTTTTATAAGAAACTAAAAAAACAGATACAATAAATTATCATTTTTATTATTACTATTATTATTATTATCAATGTAATCATTACATAAATAACTATTGTTATCATAATTAGTATTATAGATATAATTTTTATTACTGATATTATTTTCTTCATTTTTTATACTGATATGGTGTATCTTCAGGTATTTACTTTACATTAGTATTTGTACTATTGTAAATTCCTTTGAAATTTTATTACAATTTATTTCGAAATAGTTTAAAAACTAGTCCAAAATAACATTCCATAAGTTTTAAAAATATATATTTGAAAAAAAAATTTAACAATTTTTTGTATTAGTAAGCGATATCAATTATTATTTACACAATTCTATATAATTAATGAAACCAACCCTATGATAGAGAAAAAAATCTTTATCTTAAGTGGCCACCTCTCCCGGATCTCCTCCAAAGGTTGACATCAAATAAAAGTTTATCTTACCGAAAGTACCGAAAAGTTTCACAGCTTAAAATAATCATGCGTCAAAACGAATTTGCCGAATATAAATTTATTTTCAAAAGTTTTCGCGTTTTTTTTAGCGACAAAAAAATTTTAATTTACTTTTGACAAGGCTGAAAGCAACTAGTTTTTAAAAAGTGGTACTAGCCCAGTTAAAACAGACAATATGTTTAATTTTGAAAACAAAATTATTTTTGAAAAACTGTACTTATTGAAGAAACATTTGAAGTAAATACAAATCCCGAGTCATCAAAAAATATTTAGTTGCTTTTTAACCAAGACCAAGCAAGACCAAAAGGTCAAATCACAAAAAGAATCCTAATTAGCTTTAAGTTTGAAGAATTACGAGATAAAAAGATTTCATGAGATTAAAGCTTGGATCGAGCTACCTAAAGGAAAACAAGGAGAAACTGAACACAACCTAGTTGATTTGTGAGAGACACAAATCAAGGAAAGTGGTTCGGTTTTTCTAAAAAACGATTCTCAAAACTAACTATTTGATTAAAAGATTGAGAAATATAAAAGTTATGATCTTTGAAGTCACCAATACCAACAATATTGGGTTAAGAATAAAGAGAAAAGGGCTTGGTTGATTTTATTTGAAAAGAAATTAAGATCAGTGCAGTTTTGAGAAAAGTGAGTACAATATAGAACATAGAGAAAGATGATTGAGTAGAGAAATACTAAATAAAAGCACATAAAAGAACTAGAAATGAGTAAATTATGCATAAATATAGTAAATATATTATGTAGTAATGTATTAAGCAATGTTTAGTAGTTTAGTTTTCTATCCTCCCCTCAAATTCCCGTTTTAATCCCTTAAAGTCTTTGTTTATGAGGCTATCTACAAGATAGTAGCAGGGTGTAATTTTTTTTAGTTTATCAGACAGTAGCTAAATGCAGTTATAATAAGTCACATCTGCGCAAGATAAATATTTTTATCATCACATCCTCTCTAAACTTTACCTAAACCAATATCTTTAAGACAGGTGTATAATGAGTCAAAGTATACTAGTAAGTAACCTAAAAGTAACCTAGCCTTTTCTTAGATAAATAAATAGTAGGACTTAGAGAAGGTACTTGATTATATGTTACCAATAGCATGGTGATCATGATAAACCTGAGCTATAATAAAAAAAGGTTACTTCGATGAGCATTATTCTAACATTTTTCTAAGAAGATTTTAAATAAACATTACGAGAAACATCTAATATTATACTGGAAATTAAGGAAAACGGTATGTTATATGATTGTAGTCAACAGTTTATACGATTACTACACCGGAACACACCGGACCAACACTGGGACACACCGGGAGTATAAAAAACTTATAAATAATTGGAAATCATGCATACGTAAAATTTGTGATTAATACAATAAAAAATTAATACAACAAAAAAAAAGTTAACTTTTAACTTTTGAAAAGATAAAGGTATTTGTAACATTGAAAAGTAACTGGGTACCCACAGATTTATAATGTAAAAATATTTTTAAAAATTTAATTATTTTAGTTTAATATGTAAATTAAAAAAATATATATTAAAAAACTAATAGACAATAATCATAATTTTGTAATAACTTTTTAATAATTTTGTAACAACTTACAAAATTGAAACACGGTGCTCGGCGAAACAAAATATGCTCCCCCCGAAAAAAAAAAAGATATCAAGATAAAATCATGCAACACGAACTCTTCTACTACTGATGAAGAATAGAAGACATGTACAAAAAACATGATTAAAAGAGAATTTATATTTTAATCATGCAGAATTGAAGTGAATGGCACTGCGCCACGGCTGCTAACACATTCGGTGTAAGGGATGGGGGAGGATACATTTCAACAGGAGTTTGTTGTTCCCAAGCTCAAATCACTGCAAAATTTTGCAAAGTATTCTAATTTTATTTATTTATAAATATACGCAATTTGAAAAGTTATCTTTATCAAATATTTATAAAAAAGCAATCCCAGCATTATAATTAAATCACTTATTTGAAAAACCCCATTTGTCGGTATTGAGATGAGTTAGCAGCCGTAGCGCAGTAGTTAACGCGCTTGCCTCAGAAACTAGAGATCCGTGGTTTACCGTCGCCTTTGGGTAAGTTTTATAATATCGGTAAGGAAGGAGGCGTAAACTTCCTTTCAAATGCTCTTCCGCGATGCTCTGTGATAAGACCGTAAGGACTTCTTGGGGCACCTAAAATAAACTTTAAAAAAAAGAAAAAAGTATGGAGTTCAGTGTAGACAGACTTACAACTTAAGAACAAAGAGATCGCTTGTACCGTTGTCTCTTTGGATTCGTTCTAATGATTTTGTTAAACTTACTTTTTTGAAAAATAAAAATGGATGAGAGAATCAGTTTTTATCGATAATCTCAAAACAAGGTTGTGTGGACAAGGTTTTGTGAAAAAGGTTGTGTGGACAAGCTGTTTCAAATAACTGATTCAAGTGATGTTAATGTTACAATAATAAAATTTAATCAAAAATTAGTTAATGTTTAAGTGATGTTTTTCTATTGATACTTTATTGTAATTAAAACGCTCAAATGCTAAAGCTCAAATAAATAAAAAAGACGTAAATAATGTATTATTTATTTTAATGTACACTCATGTTTTATTTTACTTTAACATTTAAAGTATTATATATTATACGCTATAAGTTTTAGCTATTAAAAAAATAAACGTCAACACTCGTATATCCATTAAATTAAAAAAGCGTTTATAATGCAAGTTTGGCTGCAATTTTGACTGATAATTTTAGTTCATAATGATGTTTCTTAAGAAAAATCATTTCTAATCAATAACTGCTTATCTCTTTTCAGAAACATTTATGACTTTTTTCTGAAAAGCTTTTGATTTCCAAGAGATTAGTATTTAGATATTTAGAAAAATCATTTAGAAATATCAGGGGAAATTTGTGTACATAAACTTGTCTAAAAATATGAAACTGATATGATCATAGTTCTATACTAATTAATTTGTATTAATATAGATATACCGGTTTTTACACCCATTTAAAACAATCATGACCACCACCATGACATTCATTTAAAACACTGCGACAATCAATTAAAACAATGTGATTTTCAATTAAAACAATTGTGATTTTCATTTAAAACATTTAACGCATGCGCAATCTCAACATTCTATATTATTTTAAAAAAAGGTTTTCTTTTTATATATATTTATCTAATATTATATAAATTTATTTTTATTAAAATTATATTAATTTATTTTAATTTAATGAATTTATTTTAAATTTAAATGGATGTCATGTTTGTTTTAAATGGATGCAAAACCATATTTTTTTACATATTTTTTATATTGTTGAAAAATGGTTGATTTTTGGTTGAAATGGAAACACAAATCAACGTTGAAAAAACAACGTTAGATCAACGTTGAAAAATCAACGTTAGATTAAGATTCAACTAACTTATATACGAGTTTATAAACCTCAAAAATACAGTTTTTCGTGCCGTGATTCTTTTAATCCAAAAAAATATTTATTTTTTGTACAATATTGTATTGTTATGAGTAAGAAAAGAAACAGTCTTCTTCATAAACTTATAATAGCTAAACAATAACTTATTCTATTGTACTGCACATCTTGTTCTCAATTTTTACAGCTTTCTCTTATTATTAGTAGTAGTATTATTAATTTATTTTATATTACAATACTAACTGTTGCTATAGCATTACAATTAATCTACCCTATACCATTTTTTTAACGCAGGTAACTAAATTATAGAAATTGAAAGGCATTTATTGAAAGCAAACAAAACCAAAAAAATATTTTATACATTTTTAGAACAATAACTTATACAAAATTAAAGTAATTTTTAAAACGATCTTGATAAAGTCATGATATCGTTATCTTCATCATCAATATCAAATTCATATGTATTTTTATCGCCTTCTGTTATAAGACTCATTTTGATTTGATGCATTTTCCACGATCCAATTAATATGGTGCAACTTTCAAACGGTCTAAATTCTATCTTTGTGCATTGTGTATTTTTATTTAAAAACATCAGGTAACTGCATCTAAATAAAAATATCTTTAAAGTAAGGTACATTTGTACATTTTACAAGTATTATTATACTTCACATTGTTCACAAGCCAATGTGAACATTAAGTGATCAATAGTATGAAAAAAAAAACAACCCATTACTGATCCGTGCCAAATTTACTTCATTATTGACCAAGATATCAACCTATTTGGATAATTATACATTATACATCATTATCATACATCAACGCAAATACACACACATAACACAAACCTTGTAGGCAATTATACATCGCTTAAGTCAAACATTCGTTTAGTAGAACCGTTTTCCTTGGTCCCCTGGAGGGTCAAGATATCTACAATTTACTCTATTTATATATACATATGCATATAATTATACACATATGTATATATATATATATATATATATATATATATATATATATATATATATATATATATATATATATATATATATATATATATATATATATATGTATATATGTATATATATATATATTGGTGGGAGCAGCGCAAAGAAATATAATATACATATCAATAACATCTTGTAAATATTTAAAATCCATTCTCTTTTGTTTGTTTTTGTTTTAGATCAGGTCAGGTTAAACTTTGTTTTTAATTTATATGCCATTAACCTGCGAAATCAAAATAAATTTATTCAAAAAACAAAAACAAAAAAAAAACAGTAAAAATACAATCAAATCACAAATCAATTAATTAATGGATTACTTAAATCACAAGTTAACAAAAAATAATGAAATCATGGCAAAAAAATATGATAAACAAAATCTTAATTAAGATCTGAAAAACCAGACATGAATACAACTGAGAGGTTAAAGTTAATAGACAAATCAATCTAGACTAGTCTATATAAATGTGATTTGATATTCAATGGATATATTGAAATATTTTAAAAAAAGAAGAAAGTTAGGGAAAAAGCTGTTTATAAACAGCTTTTTCCCTAACTTACTTTTTTCTTTTTTTATAAATTGTTTGCTGTTTTGAAGTCTGTTTAGAAGAAATCTTAGCTTTAATTTGAGCATAATGTTAGCAACTTTTAATAACTTTTTTTTTTTATAAGTGCTAACTTTTTTATAAATACTATAAATAAGAAAATAACAAATAATTAAAAGAAATATATAAATAATTATAATATTAATAATAACAATAATAAATAAAATAATAAAGAGAAATAAAAAAATTTATTTTAACAACTTGTCATTTATGCAACTTGATAATTTAAATTATATTATGTGTAAAAAAAAACTATTGGCAGAACATTGTCATGAATGGTACACTACTGATATATCCAAAACAATTATCTATGATGGCAGAGTAATAAAAGTTAATTAAAAAAGTCATAATTTACATTCTTTGTTATTTTCATAATGTTTATATAATGACATATGCATTATATAACCAGAATGTGTTTTATTTTAATTTAAACTCTATTACAGTTGAACAGCTCGACATTAACAAAAGATTAAAAAAAAATCTTTTTGTTCTTTAGATCTTCGTTGACTGGCTCCTTTCTCTGGATGAGCATTATTTGCACATGACAAAACAAAGTAGATATATTTAAAAATGACTTTGTTGTATACTTTAGCTCCTATTATCAAAGCCTACATTAACTAAATCAGCTGAGCAGCTGTGACGCAGTGGCAGCCCACTTGCCTCAGAAACGTAAGATCCGTGGTTCAAACCCCACCTCTGGGCTAGTTTTGCGACATCGGTTGGGAAGGAGGCGCGAACTTCCTATTAAATGCTCTTTTGCGCTGCTTGTGATAAGACTGTAAAGAATTCTTGGGGCACCTTAATCAACTTAAAAAAAACAAAAAAAAACTAGTCAATTTTTCACATTTTTAACTAAAACTTTAAATTTAAGTTCTGTTCTACTGAACAAGCTATACATATATATATATATATATATATATATATATATATATATATATATATATATATATATATATATATATATATATATATATATATATATATATACAGGTGGGAATAAATGAGCACGAGAGCGGAGAAAAGCTCTCCTAAAACGAACTTGGGGAGCTGTGCGAGGTGCTCCTCATTTAAATCAGCGGTCTTTTTTAATTTTAACTTTTTTTTTTACAACAACCGTGCTTTTTAAAAAGCATTGCAGTATATTATACAATTAATTTTTTTAAATGGCATTATGTTTTTTAATTTAGTTACAATGATAACTATATTTTTGTAAGAAAAACTATACTTTTGCGAGAGTCGTAAATTGCTCACATAAACCGTTTTAGGGAAATGTGGACGAGAGCAACAGATAAAGCACTCGCTTCCCGCTAAGGCCTATATATATATATATATATATATATATATATATATATATATATATATATATATATATATATATATATATATATATATATATATATATATATATATATATATATATATATATATATATATATATGTATGTATATATATATATATATATATATATATATATATTTATATAAAATATGCAATGTAAGGTAATGTACACAATGTAAAAAGACTTTTAAAAAACTTGTGTATAATGCCAATTCTTATAAATTTTTGTAAAATTATACATATTTTCATAGCAAAAAAATCTTTTAATGTTTTCAGTTTTATTACATTAACACATTTATTAAAAGTTTTTAAAGAACTATCCCACGCACTAACATATGTGAAATATTAAATTTTATTTAAATTCTGAATTATTAGTACATTTGCGTCGGCGAACTCTCATATCTAAATTTCAAACTAATTTCAACGTTTATTTTTCAACGTTAATTCAACGTTTGTTTTTAGTTAAAAATAAACGTTGAACCAACGTCGAAGTTTCAACATTTTTTTTTCTTCGTTGAACTAACGTTGAAATAACGTTGAGATTTAGATCGTTATTTTTCAACCATATATCAACCATTTTTCAACGTTGAAAGAACGTTGAAATAACGTTATGTGCTTGCTGCATTTTGATTTTCGGTAATGGCACACCATATCATAATTTTAGAGCAAAATTTTTTGAAATCAAAAACAAATATCAGGGGTTGTTGTTGGCAAGGCGGGTGTTTGACGCTTGTTGGCAAGCGTTGGCGAGTGTCTTACCCTTGTTGTAAAGGTGGGTGTCTAATGCTTGTAGAAAGATAACCCATATTTGATAATTCAATGCTTCAGCTCCCGAATCTTCTGCAGACCAGTTTTTGTATTTCCGACAAAAGAACATACTGCCTCCAATATAATTTAAAATAATAAACGATCATTGTTCTTTTTCAGTTTTACATATAAACGTTAGAAGCATGCAGCAAAATTTTGAGAAACTAAAAGATTTTTTAAACATAAATTACACGTTCGATGTCATAGTTCTTTCAGAGACTTGGCATGATTTTGAAAATTCACTTAAATTAAATTATATTTATAATTTGCCATTTTATAAACTTATAAGTCAACCAAGAGGAAGTGGAAAAAAAGGTGGACGGTTAGGGCTTTATGTCTCAAAAAAGCATGATTTTAAGGTAAAAAAAACATACTATGCTTCTCAAACGATAATTACGAAAGCCTATTTATTGAAATTATAAATAAAAAGTCTGTGAAAAGTCCTTACGGTCTTGTCACAGAGCACTGCGGAAGTGCATTTAACCAGGAACTTCAGGAACTTAGAAATGTTTTAATTGGATGATTTATCGTCACCAAGTGGTAAAATCAAATCATTTGAAACTTTTATCAAAAATACAATTGAAAAAATAAATAAAATAAAACTGTATACTTTATTGGAGACATAAACTTCGATGTTCTAACTTATTCAAAATTTCCAAAAAAAAAATCCTATTTTGACATGCTTCTTAAATTTAATGTCTTGTCAGCAATTAATACACGAGGGTCAAAAACATCGGCAACGGCAATTGACAAAATTTTCATTATTAATTACCTGGAAATGGAACTTGAAACAGGTATATTTATGACTGATATTAGCGATAATTTTCCGATATTTTTAAAAGTTAGAAATTTAAAATCCATGTCTGATTTTGAATCAAAAGTTAAAAATTTGAAAAAACGCAATTTTAAAACAAGTAATACTAATGAATTATTATTTAGACTAAAACAAGAAACGTGGTCCAACGTGTATAGATGTCAGGAAATTAATGAAGCTTTCAATATTTTTTTAGATATATTTCTAGATTGCTTTAATGAAACCTGTCCTCAAGAGGACATACAAATTAAGAAAAAAGTAGTTGCTAATCCATGGATGGATAAAACACTGATAAAATGCTCCAAATAGAAGCAAAAACTCTATAATAAATTTCTAAATAATAAAAACACTGATATTGAGATAAATTACAAAAACTATAATATTTTAACCAAAATCTTATTAAAAAAGCTAAAAATAAATACTACAGTAATGAAATCATTAAATGCAAATCTAATAGTAAGAAAACGTGGTCCATCATTATTAAGATAATGGGAAGAAAAAAATAAATTCAACTTCTTTACCAAAAAGAATTAATATTAACAATGCAGGCATATTCTGTGAAAAATAAATATCCAAAGAATTTAACAAATATTTTATAAATATTGGTCCAAATCTAGCTAATAAAATAAGTCGAACATCGATTCATTTAAAAACTACCTAAAACCCACAAGAAACACTATCATGTACAATAAGGAATTCAACTATAAAGAATTTGAAGAAACCTTTCCCTATTTAAAAAAAAGAATTGGTTTGATGAAATGACTAGTGATTTAGTTATCTTTAATAAAACTAAACAGACCTCTGGTCCATATACTTAAGCTCTCAATAACATCTGGGATTTTCCCTGTTGACCACTCCATCCTATTAGATAAACTAAAGCACTATGGTATAAAACTTACAATTGGATTACCAATAGAAATTTACTGTTGCCTAATTTTTTTTGAACAATGTATTTTAAATGTAAATCTATAAACCTATAACTTTTTTTTTTTTGAATTCCCTTTTAATGGTTCAATCTTTATTATATAATAATATTTAATTTGAAAATAACATGCTTTATGTAAGAATGGCAGCAATTAAAAAATATATGCAAAGTATACCAAATTATTGAATTGGATTTTTTTTTTTTAAGTAAAATAACTTGACAATTTTTCTTGATTGACAATTTTTCGAATTAATCTTATTAAATATTTAATTTAAATTATTAATTATTAATTAAATATTTAATATCAATTACTTAAAAATGCATAATATTCTAATATTAATTAATATTAGTTAATACTTTTGAAAATGTTTAATATTTTAATATTAGTTAATAATAATATTAGTATTTTTAAATATAATATTTTCTTTTTCTTTTTAGATTATTTAAATTGTAAGACAAATATAAACATTACCACATGAAACGAAAAGTGGTTAAAATTGCACGAATGTGTTGTACACATTTTGTAAATCACATGTTGTAAATCACAGAGAGTCTTTTGTTAGTTCAAATAATTTTTTTAGATTATCTATGCAGTTAAATTACTTTTAATCTTTTAAGGAATAATATTCCAAAAAAACTTTTCTTAAAAAACTATTTTGTTGAGTATTTAAGAAACATTTACTTGATAACTTTACATTACCACTGGGAAACATGCATCGAGCATCATGGGAAAACATGCATCAGTCATACACTTTTTATTTTTACTCGTAATCAACACTTATTTTAAAAAACTGTTGCACAAGTAATAACTTTACATTACCACTGGGAAACATGCATCGAGTGTAGCTACAGCCATATACTTTTTATTTTTACTTGTAATCAACTATTGCACAATTATTTTAAAAAACTGTTGCAATTAACAGTTATTTTAAAAAACTGTTGCACAAGTAAATAACTATTTTAACTGTAATGCTTGCTCAAATCAAATTAAAAGAAATGGTCAAAAAATGATCAAGGTGTTTTAAAATAATAGAATCAGAATAAGTTAAACTTAAATCACCCTTATGATAAAATTAACAATTCATGTCGCTCAGCATTGAAATCAATAGAGCAAGAAAGTTGCAAATTATATGGAAATGATTAGATGGCATTTAAATTTACCACAAGGTATTATTCCAAGGTGAAAAAGCATGATCCAAACATAGTATTACAAGAAAAATATATAATAAATTTATTTTACCTAATAAACTTATTTATATATTTATATATAACTCTAATATATTTATTTAATCTAATAAACTTAACAATAATGCTCAACAAGAATACAAAATAAATTAACAACTCTAAATTATATACAACAAGTTTTTAATTTATTTAATCTAACAAACTCTAACCTAAATTTTAACTCTTAACTAGAATACAAAATAAACAAATGATTGTAAAATATAATTACCAGACTAAAATAAACATTAAATATAAACAATTTTTTTTAAAAACTATAAAAAACATATGGGTAAATATTAAATATTCTCAATAAATACCAAAATTGCTTATTAATTGTCATTCTTACCTTCAAAATGCTTTGTAGTTCTGGGACCATCATTTTCAAAATGACTCCATATACTATGAGGAAAAATAGCAATTGTAGAGAGCCAATATTATAAAAACAAAAATCTGCAATGCTCGTTATATAAGGTGCATTGTAAATAATCTGTTCGAAAAGTTCTTCATAACTATTAGGGTCTTCAAGTGGTAAGCAAGAAAATGAAAAAGCTTTTTTACTTGGTTGTCATAAAATCTTGTTAAACCTAAACTTTGTGCCTTTAAAAAAAACAAAAAGATATTTTGAGTTTTCATATTATTAATTAACAAATACAAAAAATGTATGATATAAAGATATATTATAAAATATCAATTTTTAAACTTTATTCTTATAAATTTTTAAAAAATAAAAACCTTTTTCATACTGCCAGCTCAAAATAAATAAAAAACATTATTGTCACTCCAGTAAAAATTAAACTTAATGCAGATTCAAAACTGCTAATTCACAATCAATTAAAAAGCACAAAACTTCATTTTCCATTTCATTTTCTAAAAAAAAGTAAACATTTAACAAGTATTTTACTAAACTAAAAAAAGTAAATTTATAATGGTAATACCTTAATAATGCCAATACCTCCACAGAATAATATTACCATTATCATGTTTATATATATGTATATATATATATATATATATATATATATATATATATATATATATATATATATATATATATATATATATATATATATATATATATATATAAATATAAATGTATGTACGCGTAAATCCGACCTTAACAAAGCCATTTCTTTACTTAAGTTATGTGCCACACTTTTTCAGTATTTTTAAGAGTGGCATGATATGAACATGTTTTGCTGTGTCATTTTTTTAAAAATTTGTATCAACAAAGATTTTTTTTGAGTACTTAAATAGTTTAACTTTAATTCTGCACAAAATATATAATTTTTTAATTTTGCTTATAATGAATTTATTGTTGTTTAAAACTTCCTTGTTGTTTGTGCATCAGGTATGTATTGAAGGAATACTGAAACTATTTTAAAAATATATTCAGACATCAGCAAAAACCTTTCTTTATGCTACCTGTGAAATTTCATGAAAAATAGGCACTAATTTTAGACTTAAGTTCTGCTAGACACATGGGTAGTTAGCAGAGAGCGTATCGTAATAAACATTTTAACATTAACGTTTAAATGAATATTATGATAAAAAAATAATTGAATATATATATATATATATATATATATATATATATATATATATATATATATATATATATATATATATATATATATATATATATATATATATATATATATATATATATATATATATATATATATATATATGTAATATAATAAAAAATATAAAAAAAGTAAAAAGAAAATTTTAAATTTCAATAAAGAATTAAAATTTAATTTAAAAAACTTTGATTTTGAACATTTTAAAGAGTGCTAAAAACACCCTTCTAATACCCCTCATACTTCTATGCAATCTTATTCCCCTTTTTAATACCTTTCTTTTAATACCAAATATATGAATTTTGAAAAGAATTGACAAAGCTATGATATTTAAAGTTGAGAAAACTTTAAATATCATAGCTTTAAAATTTGGTCACCATTTCTTCAACAAATCCATATATCAAAAATTCTACACTTAAAATGCTAAAAACTTATAGTAGAATTGCTTGATTTTAATAATTTTTCACCTTTAAAATACTGCAATGAAACTCTTTTTAATAAATTTTAATTTTTAATTTTAAAATATAACAATATAGTACTTCATTAATTGAAAAAAAATCATGTCACATACCTATTTAAATATCTTTGCTTCCAACAAGGCTGCAAGCAACCACTTATTAATGTTGGAAGTTATTGGAAGAGAAAAGATAAAGATTGTAGAGCAAGATAACAATTGACCGACGACTTTAAAGATTGCAAATTATATGAATCAGGAAAGCAAGACAAAAAAAGCAAATTCCAAAGAACGGATGTTTGAGTAAATAAACTAGTGGAATAAGAATTTTTGGAGCACTTAGGAATAGTCACAGAAAAGGGATGAGACTTAATTGAATTACAAGTAACACAAGAATGAATTTTAGTAGATGGCACAAAAGACGCTAGCTCTTTAGAGCATTGCCCATTATAGTATTTGTAGAAGAAAAAGAGAAGCAACATTATGCTGATGTGATAATGGCTGAAGATTGGCTGCAAGAGCAAGTCTAACTATGTTTACATATACGTTTTTGCACCTTGTTTGAAAGAAAAAGGGCATCATTAGAAGATCCACCTCAGATATGGCAACAGTATTCAATACAAGGCCGGATTTGCGATTTACAGAGATAGAGAATAGAACCCAGAGTAAGAGAGTGTCGAGCTCGATAAAAAGATGCAACCTTAACAGATGCTAATTTTGCAACAGATTTTATATATATGTTTTCCAAGAAAGATTAGAAGTAAGAGTCAATCCTAGAAGATAAAGGGTAGATAACTTTTCTTGTACATTACTGTTCATAAATAGAGGAAGATTTAAATTATTGCAATAATGATTGGCTGAAAAAAAAAAGAGTTTTATCTGATATAAAGTTCACCAGCCACTGTGAGCCCCATGTTGTAACAGAAGAGAGATCCCTTTCAAGCTCAAATGCCCCCTCCAAGCAATCAGAGAGAGTTGGTTTCTTATCATGACAATAATAAATAGTAGTATCATCAGCGAATAATGCCACCTTAGATGTGAGAATATCTGAGAGGCCAAGGATTGAACCTTGAGGAACCCCTGAAGTTATAGAATAATAAGACTGCTGTCCATCAAGGACAACTTTTATACTATAAATGGAAAGGAAGTATACAAAATTTCTTAAAGATGTTTCCAGATATTTTTTTTTTTTTTTTTTTTTAACATCTTCACTTCCAACAAGGCTGCAACCACTATATGAGTTGGAAGTTACTGGAAGAGAAAAGACTAAATCTGTAGAGCAAGATAACGATTGACTGATGACTTAAAAGATTGCAAATTATATGAATCAGGGAAGCAAGATGAAGGAAGCGAATTCCAAAGAACTGATGTTCGAGGAAAAAAACTAGAAGAATAAGAGTTTTTGAAGCACTTAGGAACAGTCACAGAAAAAGGATGAGACTTAATTGAATGGCGAGTAACACGAGAATGAATTTTAGTAGATGGCACAAGGAACGCTAGCTCTTTAGAGCAGTGCCCATTATAGTATTTGTAGAAAAGAGAAAGAGAAGAAACATCACGACGATGTGACAAAGGTTGGAGATGGGCTGCCAGAGCAGGTCCAACTATGTTTACAATGCGTTTTTGCACCTTGTCTAAAAGAGAAAGAGCATCATTAGAAGATCCGCCCCAGATGTGGCAACAGTATTCCATACAGGGACGGATTTGAGATTTATAGAGATAGAGAATAGAATCTGGAGTAAGAAAGTGTCGAGCTCGATAAAGAGATGCAAACTTAACAGATGCTAATTTTGCAATGGATTTGATATACGATTTAAAAGAAAGATCAGAAGTAAGAGTTAATTTTAGAAGATGAATGGTAGATGACTCATCTAGTACATTACCATTCATAAATATAGGAAGATCTAAATTATTACGATAACGATTAGCCGAACAAAATTGAGTTTTATCTGAATTAAAGTTCACCAGCCACTGTGAGCCCCATGCTGTAGCAGAAGTGAGATCCTTTTCAAGCTCAGATACCCCCTCCAGACAATCAGAGAGTGTAGGCTTCTTATCATGACAAGAGTAAATGGTAGTGTCGTCAGCGAATAATGCCACCTTAGATGTGAGAATATCTGGAAGATCGTTAATGTAAATTAAAAAGAGTATAGGGCCAAAGATTGAACCTTGAGGAACCCCTGAAGTTACAGGGTGTGAAGAAGAGTGTTGTCCATCGAGAACAACTTTTATACTACGATTGGAAAGAAAGGACTCAATAATCTTAAAGATGTGTTACCAGATACACCATAAGAAGAAAGCTTATGGAGAAGACCAGCATGCCAAACTTTATCAAAAGCTTTAGAAATGTCAAGTGCGATAGCCTTAACCTCTCCACCTCTATCTAATGCACGGTAAAACCAATACACCATAACCAGATACACCGTAACCAGATACACCATAAACTGATAGCATATGGAGAAAACCAGCATGCCAAACTTTATCAAACTCTTTGTCAAGAGCGATGGTCTTAACCCCTCCACCTTTATTTAATGCACAATAAAATCTATAGATTATTACTGTTAGCAAATCAGCCGTAGAATGAGAAGATCGAAATCCATATTGATGACCAGAAAATTGTTAGATTCAAGTGACATTAAGTGTTTGTTAATTAAAGATTCTAATGGGACAGTAGTTAGACCAATCAGATCGCTCTCCAGAATGTTTAAAAATAGAGATAACAAATGCTGCTTTCCAACAGGCTGGAAAACAAGACTCTGATAAGCACTTGTTAAATAGTTTTGAAAGGATAGATAACAGCTCCGGAGAACACTTCTGCAAGACTATAACAGGTATATTATCCGGGCCACAAGCTGTAGAAGAGTCTAAGCAGGAAATCACTTTAGATACAGACGCTGGAGTGATACGAATGTCAAGCAACCTGTTTGACAGCTATATCAGGTAGAACGCAACTAGTGAAATCAAAAGATGATATTGATGAAAAGTTCTTAGCAAATAATTCAGTATTTTCTTTAGCTGACAAAGTTTGAACCATACAAAAGAAGTGGAATTACAGACTTGCCTTTATTATTGATACCATTAAAGATTCTCCAGAAGTCACCAGAGCCTAATTTGGGTGATGAAATACGAGATTTCATAACCTGAGAATAGCAAGCTTTGGCGTTAGACAAAACCTTTTTTCAATGGTTCCTAGCAGTAATAAACAGACATCTGTTTTCTAGAGATATGGAAATAATGGCTTTGATTGGCAATTGCAGCAGCACATTGTGAGGAAAACCATGGAGAATAGTGAGGCATGACCTGGAATCATTGAGAGGGAATAAAGGATTCCATGCTAGCCTGAATCCACTAAGTTATGTAAGCGCATTTGTCAACAGGAAGACAAGAGATTTCTATCAAGGGCCATCACAAAGTAAATCACGGAAAGAGTCCCAGTCAGCTTGAAGCTAGTTGTAAGATATATGATGATAGGGGGATTCTGATGATAAAGAAAACGTCTGTCTGGAAAGCGAGTTGGAAAGTTGATTATTTGAGTTAGGGGTTGAAAAAGGGAAAAGTTGTGGGCTTTAATGCTTACAGAGTCACTGACGCTAGACCCAAGCTATTCAGCGTGATGAACATTAAAGTCACCGACAACAACAATATTGGCTGATGAATAAAGAGAGACGGCTTGGTCAATATGATCAGAAATAACATAAAGAAGAGTGCAGTCTTGAGGTGAAGGAGAGCGATATAGAACAAAGAGTAAAGTGATACCAAGAGTAAGAGTGAGTGAAATGGTGCTGAACAAAAGCACATAAAAGAGTAGTCTGTAGATTTAAACCTAATTTCCCGACAAATAGGTAAATTCTTACGAATGTAAATGCCCAGACAAGCATGTGACTATTGGAGTCTTTACGAATTAAAGGAAGATAACCATCGACACTAAGATAACAAGATGAGACAGCTGAGCTCAAATTAGTCTCATGAAGAGCAAGTAGGTCTGGTGAACTTTGCAAGAGATAAGTCTCAACAGAAAAAAGTCACTTTGAAGACCACGAATAGTAGTAAATGATAGGTTTAGTGAACTTGGTGATGACAGTGGTTTTTGTATTTTATAGTTTTTGTTACTTTATTCATTTTTAAATTTGTTAATTTATCATTTTTTGTTTTGTTAAAGGGCTCCAATGTGGCCTTATCAATGCACATCAAAAGTACAAACAGGGACACCATCCGTGCACAACATGGTACAGTTAATACTTTGATATTTTCCAGCTGTTGATGGAATCAGCCTCTCTGAGAGCTACCACAGAGTTCAAGAAACCTGACCACCAGCTAGCCTCCGAACCATAAAACTGAGTTTTAGAGCTGTACTCTTATTAGGAAATATTAGAATGATTTGCCTAGTCATTAAAACAGAGACACAAGCAAAATCCATGCATCGAGTCAAGAAGATTTAACATCCTAAACTGGAAACAATGTATTAAAAATACATCTACACCAGCCAAATAGATGAAGAAGGGGTGTGAGGCTGGTCAACAGATAGAATCTGTTTACCCCTTAAGTCTTTTATTTTATTAAAACAAAAAATGTAGCAAATATATATATATATGTAGCATATATATATATATATATATATATATATATATATATATATATATATATATATATATATATATATATATATATAGGCCTCCGCGGGAATAAATTAGCACGAGAGTGGTCTTAAAACAAACTTGGGGAGCTGTGCGAGCTACTCCTCATTTAAATCGGCACTCTTTTTTAATTTTTAATTTTTTTTTTGCAACCATACTTTTTAAAAAGCATTGCAGTATATTATGAAATTAATTTTTTTTAAATGGCATTTTAAATTATTTTTCAAATGTGTTTTTTATTTTAGTTACAACAATAATTATACTATTGCAAGAGTCATAAATTGCTCCCATAAACTGTTTTAGGGGAGTGTGAGCAAGAGCTAAAGTTTTCGCTTCCTGCCAAGGCCTGTGTGTGTGTGTGTGTATATATATATATATATCAATCTTCGGAAAAAAGGAAAATAAGGTTCGCAATAATTTGCCAACCTTAATCTGTGTTCGGCATCAAGCCGGCAGAAAAAATGTAAAACAAAGGTTTGACCATAAAACATAAAAATGGGGTCAGCGATTTTTTGCTCACCTCAAACACTTTTAGGTTGGCATATACACACACACACACACACACACACACACACACACACACACACACACACATATATACACACACATATATACACACAGATATATATAGCCCTCGGATTTAGGGTCAGCATTTGGCAATGCTGACCTAACTACCAACCTGAAAAGTGTTTAAGGTCGGCAAAAATTTGCTAACCTTGTTTTTATGTTATATGGTAATCCCTTTGAGTCAAGTTTTTTTTGCCTACTTGATGCCAATCTGTAACAGTTTGAGGTCAGCAATTTATTACTCATTTTTTTTCTAATTCAGAGGGTTTACTGTATATATTTATGGTACATCCTACAGTTAATTGGCCTAAAATAATTTATAGTTTCTTTTTTGAAAAAATGGAGATTTGTGTAGAAATGCATATCAATAATAGATGTAAGTAATAATAAATGATAAAAATTATTCATGAATATTTGTATATTTATAATAACAATAGTAATATTTACTTCATTACCTTGAAGTAAAATTATGAAAGATCGTTCATAACTTTTGCATTGGTTTTGTTGGAGATCTTTAACCAGCGTCTCTAATTCTTGGATAAAGTCATTTTTTCGTACTCCTGCACTATTTGGTTCGTGATTATAAAAAGAGGAAGACATTAAGTATAGACCATTAAGTGTGGTAGTTCTTACTTTACAACCAATGGTATTCAAAGTGCATCTTTAATATTTTTTACCATTACACGAAGAACTTTTTCTATATACGTTTTTTTGAAAAGTAACATTTACTGTTTTTCTTCCACTATGATAACTTAATTGAAAGAACCATTTATGATTATGCTTAATTTTTTTGTATGTTAAGGTTTAACTGCCTTGAACTTTACACGATACTCTATATTGTTCTGTTTTTGAAACCCAATCGAAAAGTTTAATGTGAAAAATAATAACGTTCTTTTGCTTTTAAACTTTTCGCTTTAGCTTTTTTGCTTTTAAACGTTAACTTTGAACAGGACGACCGGTTAAAAACCGGAGGTTCCAAACCGGTATATAAAAAACTTTATCATTGTTCTGTTCATTTAAGAATATTAAAAACTTTATTTTGTAGAAGAAATTATTATGATAAGAATAAATTTAAAATTATATATTTATTTATTTTTTAGCTCTTTTTGTACTGCTTTTAAAAATACTAGTTATAATAGTATTGAAACTTTTACTTTTACCGTTGGACTTTCCAATATGACCGTCAAACTTTTTTCGGTGAGCTATCCAAAAATAATATATGTTAATATATGTTAGTGACGCTTACTTGAATAGTTTATAACTTTTTCAAAAATAAGATTTCATAAATTTGAAAAAAAAATTCGCATTTTCAAAAAAAATGTTATTCAAAACAAAACAAAAATTGTATAAATTACAAATATTTGTATAAATGTACAAATAAATATTCCATAGACTCGATATAAAAGCAATTTAATGAAAGAAAACCTTTTTTTATTTTGTGCCTAAGGTTGCCACATTTTTCGGAATTGTTTACCGAATGCCGGTATAAGAAAAGAGGAAATGAACTAAACTCTTCTCTCCTAAAAAAGAATCACGCATCCCCCCCCCCCCCCATGCAAATCGATCCCATGAAGATTAAGCGTCATTAAAAAATTCTATAGCTTTGGTGAAATGTTTGTTTATTTAGCAATCCCACAATAAATTGCGCTACATCAAAATAATTCTATATTAAGCTTTGCAACTAATAGCTCGCTCCAGATTAAAATCTGAAGCCCATGTTATACTTTAATAGGGCAATAGGTAAGAATAAGAATAATATTTAGTTTTATATATAATAATTAAATAATATTTAATTAATAGGTAAGAATAAGAATAAATTTATCGACTGATTGGTTTCGCCATAAACTATGCAGAGTTTGCATATTTTGACTAAGGGTTTTGGTTGAGACAGATAGTTTGTTTATTTATAAAACGTTTTTCTTAAGTTTTAAACATCTTTTCTTTGATACAACATAACTAATATTGCAATCTTAACTAATATTGCAGACTTTTGTAGGATAAGAATTTTTGGCTACCGATTTCCGATAGATTACCAACGGTCGTAAAGTTTTAATTCAATTAGTTTTATTATTATGTATAGTTATATTAGTTTATATATTTCTATATTGCAAGGCTTTTTTATGTTGTAACCCGAACTTTAACTAGCTTGAACGAAAGAATTTTATTTCCTTTAGAGTTGGTAAGGCTAATAGTGCTCCACATTATCATTATAATTTTTTTTTATAATGATAATGTGGGTTCATAAAAGGGCTTTATAAGCGGTTTTTTTTTTCAGATTTTTAATTTTGTGTAAGGCAAGGTTAACATCGAACATTAAAATTGACAATTTTTTGTCACCTTAATAAGTGTAGCTACACGTTTGTTAAGCAAGAAACAAATGGTTTGCAAATATTGCAAAAATTTAGAAACAAATAAGAAACGCTACCATAATTTATTCCCAGTACCGGATCAAGGGCGGTCTATAGCCCCGGGCTCCGTAAATTTAGGGGCCCCAAAAATTTTTTTTTTAAAAGTCATTTTTAGGCTCTGACCCATAAAAAGGCCTCCAAAAACAAAAATAGCCCCGGGCCCCAAGAAGTCTTAATCCGCCACTGTCTATTCTATATACAGAGAACACAGAAAATAAAATAAAAAACAGTAAATAAAGCTCGAATCACTTCTCAAACTGCTAAGTACACTAAAGAATCATAAAATAAAATTTTAGCCCTTCAATTTTCAAGAGTACATAAATTACATAGTCAAAAGTACATAAAGATTTTTTTTGTAAATAGACACCTAATTGTCAGTTTAAAGTTGCTTAAATTTCGAACTTAAAATTTTCTCAAGGTTTTTGTTGTTCCCAGCCTCCAATCACTGCAAGATTTTGCAAATAATTCATTATTATTTAAGCATAAACAAATTTATTTACAAAAAGTAATTTTGGTAAAATTAAAAACTTGTATACGGACTTAATATATTATTATTATTAAAGAACACATGTTAGAATTTCTTTTTTATAGTTAAAAATAAAATTAAAAATCATTATTTTTTACATCCTTTACAAATTACTTTTGAAAAAAAAAAACTTACAACTGATTTGAAAGTATCTTCACTACTTCTATTTATTACCAACCTTTTTTATCTATGATGAATTTTTGTCGCTTTGTTTAAGCCCACCCCCTTGTTATTACAATTCATTCATTTTTACTATTTTTTTAACAGGATAAGAGAAAATAGTTAATAAACAAAACCTACTTAAAAGAAAATAATTTGAAATCTTAATTTGAAGAAAAAAATTTGAATCTCATTTACTAGATTAATAGAGGAACAATTCATACGAAATGATTCTATATAAGATATTTTAAAGTAACACACACTATCAAAATAATACTTTATATCAAAATAAAAAATGTCACCAATGCATTGCTTTAGTTTATAACTTAAGATAACTTGCTTAGTTTATAACTTAACAAACATTGCTTTACTTTATTTGAGTCAGTGATTTTAAATAGGCGGATTTGCTCAAAACAATTTAAGCAAACCCGCCATTTTAAAAAACACTTGTTTAAAAGGTTTGAAGTAATGACAAATTGACTCAAAACCAGCAATTAAGTTTAACAATTTCCGATTCATTATACATGCTATCGGTAGATCTAGATTTATTATACATGGTATTGGTAGATCTCCATATATTGTTAAAATTTTAAAAAGGCTATTAATTACAAAAATATAAAAGTAGTGAGGAAATCAGAGAAAAGATAAAATATGCGACTACAAGCGCCGCAATGGCCTTGTGAATTTTTTCACGATGACTAAAATTTCAACTCCGTTTAAAATTATTTTCTAAGTAATGCTAATTTTAGTTAAGTAGCCAAAAAGTATTTTGTGGTAATGAGACAAATATTAATGATAAAAATAGTTTAAAATTTACAAATGCTAAAGCTGCTAAGCGACGCTTAATTTTAAAAGAAAACTGCTCAAGTTTTAAAACCATGAAAATTTAAAAAAAAAAAAAAAAAAAAACTTTTTTATTTTTTTTGCTAATATAAATGTGTTATTAACAGCTGGAATAACTTAGATCAAAACATTTTAGATTCTAAAACACTTAAACAATTTAAATCAAAGTTGGACTTATTTTTAACATAAATCGGCTGTTAAAACCTAGATCAACTAGGCTCCGTACATTGTCATTGTACATGTACACAGTTATTATTAAATAAAAAAATAAAGAAACAATAGTCGAGTATTGTGAATTATATAAAGGTGATTATATAAAGGTAATTATATAAAGACCATTCGTCCGTTTTTCTACGGGAACTAAATAATCACGTGAGCATGCGTAGTGTTACTTCAGACAAACTAAAACTTAATCTGATGCACACGTGATAATTTTTTCCTTTCCAAAGAAAAAAGAAAGAGGTAATATTGTTAATAACGATTATTATTAAAAAATAAAACAATAGAATTACAAGCCCAAGCCCGAATAACCTCAAGTCCAAGTAAAAAGCTGAACCCCGTCTGATATTCTCTTTAATTTTAAAACATAATAAATCAGTTTGGCACTTTCTTTTTTGGCAATTTAAATGATTACATTTGGTGAGAATGTTTCTTGAACTGTTCCTCTTTAAAGAAACGCAATATAGGTTGTTTAAATATAAAAAAAAGGACTTAACTCAATTTTGATAGTTTGCCAAATAACCTAAAATAGCTCCCTATATTTGTTATTTTAGTTTTTCAAGAACTTTTTTTTAGCACAGTTTCCCTTTAAAGTTTAGATAATTAAACTTCCCTTTTCCTAACCTAGTCAAATATAAAAAAATTCTTAAAAAGATTCATTCTAATATGAATCAGTTTTCAAAAGGGCGGATTTGCATACATAGTTTTGAGGAAATCCATACTTTAAAAAAAAACTCATTCATATAGGTTTTTTTTATGATTGAAATATCAAAGATTAGCATTTTTAGCTAAACACGTTTTACTAAAAAATAAAACCAGACAATTTTGACGTAAGTTCACCACAGTTCATACGCTAACTTTACGTAAACGCAAAAATGATTCTTGATAAAATGGTTACAAAAATACATACGGTTTCTGTAACCTTAATTGAATCAGTGAATGTTAGAAGGACTGAAGTCCAACTATGTAAACTTTCGGGAAACTAAGAAAAACTCGCTCGTAGTAAATTTTTGTTAATGGTTTTATAATTTTTTTTTGAAGAGGATGTTTTTCACCTTCAAAAAAAAAAAAAAAAATTGAATCAATAACAAAAATTTACAACTGAGGTAAAGTGCAGTTTTTTTTATAGTTTCTCGAAAGTTTACAATATTGGACTTCTAATACTTCCGCCCTTTTACAGAAATTGATGTACAGTGTTAAATAAATTTTTGTTATTAAAAGACTTTCCAACTTTTACGCGATGATTGCCAGGTTCTTCGTGTTAAACAATCTACGAGAATGCAAGAAAAAAAAAAAAAATTTTGTTAAACAGTTTTTCAGAATATGCACAGATTTGTATAACAAATGTTGTTAATAAGTTAAAGCGGTGTAACAATTGACACTAGGGCCGACGACGCGGATTTCGAAGGAAAAAACTATCTTCAAAATTAGCAACATTAAATAGTTGTCAAATTGTAATGAAAATGTAATGAAATCTTATATTTGAAGAATATCAATTAGATTCGGTTCTCATAATCTACTTGAAGATTTAAAAAGTTAATTTATGATTAAAATTTTTTTTTTTAAATTGAACATTAAACTTTTTGATGTTTATTTTCTGAAACAAAATAATTCTTTACATCTTCAGGTTCTGATGTTTTGTTCTTAGCAGTATTACGCGACATTATTAGATGAGGATTTTAACTTTCTACAAGTTTCACTTTTAGAATCTGTTTACATTTGTGTATCGGCACACTTTCTTTAGATTAATTTTTGCTTGGATTAATTTTATTTCACGTAATTGTTAACAATTCATCATATGTAAGACATTCCGCCAGCTTGAGTATCCAGTCAATGTTACCCTTAAACTGAAATATGCTTTTGAAAAAAAAAACGTAAATGAAAAATCTTATATGCTTAGCATTTGGAAACAACATAAAAACACATGTAAAACGATTTTATGCTTTTACTTTTCTTTTAACTAATGTTTTTCAACTACAACAAAAAAAAAAAAAACTAAATTTATGCTCGTCCTATTGTGTAGTTATTTATTCTTATAATTATGCGAATCAAAATAGTTACATTGGTTTATTCATTATCTGGCTGTAGTGTGTTAAAATAATTAAATAGCCAACGAGTGACGGCTAAAGATATTTAATTTAACTCACGTCACTGTTACCATTGTGTCACCTTATTTCTGATGCATCAAGTTTTCCAAGAACATCACACGTAATCATTTTGGTAAACAGTTTTAAGTCTTTTAATGATGCAAATAAGGTTACACCATAACACTAACACGTAAATTTTAAAAAGGTGACATTGACCATAACACTAAAACGTTAATTTTAATCTAACCTCCTATTCTTAGTTTATAATGACAAAAGTAATTATTTTAGTGCTAACGAACTTAAAATAAGATTTTATGACATTACGGCGATTTATATTGATAAGAGGAAAGCTTATATTCGGTCACTATTTTAGGGCCGACGACATTTTTTTAAGTAAGGAGGCTAAATTATATAAAACAGAATAAAAGAATGCAAAATAACTTAAAAACCCATACCCGTGCCGTTGGCCATGCATTTGAGTAAAAAAATTCTATTTCATTATTTTAAAATAAATTATATAAAACATAAATATTTAAAAAACATTTTTTCCAAACAACTAATCCTTACAGGAATTTTTGAATAGAAGAATACAAATAACTGAGAACAAAATATACATCGGATTTTTATTCGCACTTTAATCAAATCGAATTTTTATTATTATGAACTTGGAATTTAAAAAAAATTAATGCTTCAAAGAATCAACATTTAGTACCAACATTTAGTATAGTAGTTACATACTGAGATATAACTGGTTGTACATACTGAGATATAACTGGTTATATCGTTTTTATCAAAATTTTGTTTTTTATATCATTAGATCTAAAAATTAGAAAAATCTATCAACTCATCATTTTAAAGCTATTTTATAATAGTAAAAAAAAAAAAAAAAAAAAAAAAAAAAAAAAAAAAAAAAAAAACCTAGGGAATTTTGTAAATATTTTTTAAATTAATTTTATAGACATATAAAATGATTTTTTTTGCAAAGAGATATATTTAACACACTTCTACAATCCTATGTGTTTTTGTCACTGTTAAAAAAAAAAAAAAAGCTAAAAGGCAAGAGTCATACATAAAACTCCAAAATAATCAGATAGTAAAATTATTAAAAAAATGAAGTTCTTTTTATATTACTTATAAAATCCTAAAATAATATTTTGCAAAACGTTTCAATTTTGCAAAGTTAGATATTAGGAAAAAAGATTTCAAAATAATAACAGGTAACAAATAACAAATAATAATTTAACAAATTATATTTATTTGATGACAGCGGTAATGCTAAAAAAGAGGCAAACAATCATAAAAAGTCAGAAAATAAACACAATATAAAATATTTCCGTGCTTAAAACAAATATGTATACAACATCATTAGTTTAAATCAATACTCAAGCTTAAAATGCTTTTTCTTTTTAAGCAAACCAGTTTTTAATAACGAGGTCTTTTGTTCTGTTGGGAATAACCTTGACTCTCTTGATAATAGACCGCTGCGGCTGAATTCTATGGAGTAAATTTGTTTATTTGATGAATCACAAATGCGGTTTTAATAAAGACAACACAAAATGAGTTGGAAAAAATAAATTATGACTTTACTATTAAGAATGGTTTAACAAAAAAAAAAAAAAAAAAAGGACTAAAGTATATGAAGAATAAAGTTTATGAAAAAAAGACCTGAAAATTTATGGAGTTTTAAAAATAATGAATGGATTTAAATTAAATGGATTTTAAATTGATTAAACAATTTCAATTTAGTCGCAAATTAATTTCAGGTACAGCAAAGTTTTTATAAAGTACATCATTGTACATTAACTTTAATTTAGTAAAATTGTGGCTCACAAAAAAATAGAATTGAAATTCTTACTAATATCCTTAATTCTAAAATCCAAATATAAAAAATAAATAGAATTTTCCAGATTTGGATCACTATAGTGATCCAAACATCATAATCTTTATTGTATTATATTATTGTGAAACTATAATATAAATCTGAAATTCTTTTTTTTTTAGTTCAAATCAAAAAATAAATTTATAATTTGAGGGAAATTTTTCTAGCTCAGTTTCAAATCATAAAAATAACACCCAGGTAAAAATAATTACCAATAACAATAGAAATTAATGCAAATTTTTATGGAGTTAAAAAAAAAAAATTCTTTAAAAAACTTCAGATTTAGAATGCCTGTCCTTATTTGCACATAACTCTTAAACTCCATTAATAACTATAATATCTTACTTATTATTAAATTAAATTATCACCTTAGCCTAGAATTTACACAAAATCAATAAATTTTGTTATAAAAGTCCAACTAATAGAAACTTTCTGATCGCAAAAATCAAAATATTGGCATAAATAAATTAGGAATATTTATCTTGCAAACATGCATATACTAAAAACAAAAAAGGAATGAGTTCCATTTTTTAATTCCCTTTATTTTCATAATTAGATATAATTCACAGTTTGTCATATCAGACAATGTCACGTTAATTGGTCAGATAATATTTTCATATAGTCGATTAATCAAACATGATCAATAGTGAATTATTAAACAACTGAATAAACAACGTTTGGTACTCAAATAATTATTAATGTGTATTGAATTAGTAATTCTAATAATAAGTGAATAATCATACAAAATTTTTCTCAAGCCTAATAATCAAGCCTATTTTTCTAACAATTAATTATGCAAACAAATCTAAATAAATCAAATATTTCAATAATTAATAATAAATAGTTCCCCTCCAAATAATAATCTTGTATGTGCATTGTGCATAACCTGTATAGTTTTTCTATACAAGCTTAATCTTATATAATTTACTTATGTAAATACTTGCATAACCATAATATTTTTTATCAATCCTTATGGCTATATGGTATGGTAGTTAACATAAAATTTTTTAATTTTTAAATAAATTTAAAATCAGATGTCATTTTCTCATGTTTACTTAACTATACTTAATATTTCAATAAAAGCTTAATCATAAATAATTGACCAGATGAACTAGATAAATAATTGACCAGATGAACTAGATAAATAATTGACCAGATGAACTAGATAAATAATTGACCAGATGAACTAGATAAATAATTGACCAGATGAACTAGATAAATAATTGACCTATATAACTGATTAGATGTAACTTTTTTCAATTAATTACACACAATTCTTGTATACTTATACATTATACAATAATATATTTATAAAATACATATTGCAATATACTTGCTTTATCTTTGTTTATTTTCATTGCATAATTTTCCTATTATATTATTCATAACTTTAAAATAATGACTTTTTATAATTAACGATATAAATTTGTAGACAATATAGGAATTTCAATGATTTGTATTATGTTAATATATAATTATATATATATAAAATATGTATTCCAATTTTTCAAATTTACATAATGCTTAAAGATAATTTTTTTGATAATTTTTTTGGTATCTAGCAAAAATAAAAAAATTAAAATGTATTTACAAATATATACTAAATATTGTGTTATAACTTCTGTACCAAAATATGATAAAATTTCACGTAAAATAGTGTTTTATGGCCAACTCAATCATAATCATAGACAGAGTTAAATTAAGTTAAACAGCTTAACTAATTTTTATAAATGTTTATATATAGGAATATTAATTGATATATATTATGAAAAACCTATATTTTTACTAACCCCCATCATATTTTACAGACCATGAAATATTGCAACATAGCTTTTATTTGCAAATATGCAAACCTATAAATGAATAAAACACACACGTTTATATATATGTATCCATTATTGTAGATCTGTATGTTAACCAATAAACTTATTAACTTTTAATCTTAACTTATAGCAAGCTTGTGGTTCTTATATTTCTAAGTATCTTTAATAACATTAACTAATACAGCTTACATTTTCTTATACATATTAATTATTAGTTAAATATCCAATAAAACAAAAATTAGCAAATGCATAAAACAATTATAGTTTTATTAGAGATAATAGACTATGTATTTTAGCTCCACACTATTGATACATTAAATTAGCTTTTGATAAACACCCCTTGATACTGAAACACCCCTTGATACTGAAACACCCCTTAACTATAAAATTTAAAAACTATATATAGTCCTAATAAATAGTTAGTGTCTGCAAATATAAACAACAAAGCTTGATAACTCTATCAAAGCCATACATAATACTCTTATGCGTGTAACTATAATATTGTGTTATCAATAATAACATGCTACCTTTTTAATATCATAACATAATTATGCAATTTTTATGATATAAGTGTTTATGCAACCCCACAATGTTAAGTTATGCAGGCAATTAAAGAACTATCTTAGATATATAATATTAACATCTTGGGCATGAAAAGCTTTTCATAAAAGGCTAGGAGCTTAACTTGTATTAAATTATTTTATAAACCAAAACATTTCCATAATATTTTAGTATGCTCATAAATCTTTTGTGTTGAATAAAGGTATGAACATTAAATAAAACTAATATTTTAGTATGCTCATAAATCTTTTGTGTTGAATAAAGAACATTAAATAAAACTAATACTGCTCAACTCGATTGAATACATGGAATTATATTCTCTTATCATAATTTCCTATGCTTTAGAAAAGAAACTTACAATTTGCAAAAGCTTCATAGCACAATTTAATTAAAAGTAAACACTATTTCAATCACTTTTGACAAAAAATAAACTATGTAATGTAAACTGTATTTCATTAAATATTATGAGTTTAAAAAAATCTAATCAATTAAACTTATTTTTCATTAAAAAAAAAAAAAATCTTTTTTTTACTTTTTTGCATTATAAATTACAATTTTAGTGATGAAACTTAATTTATTATCTCAAATAATTTAATTAGTTTATTTACAGAATGCAAAAAGTCATATAGTATGATATAAAAAGCAGAAACTTTTATCATTGCTATAACCTTATTTAGTTTTACGCTTTTCAAATAAAATGATGGATTAATTGCAACATTGTTTTCAAGTACTGAATCAATTTTTTTTCTTTCTCATACAAAATATTTTAGTGTTAGCAATGTGTTAAAACATTGTGTCCAATATATTTTTAATTTTAGAATAACATTCAAACAATGTTCATATTTATGCCAAATATATCTTTGATTTTTGAATTAGAAAAACTAACATTTCCCGAACAAAAAATTTATTTGATTTAGGTAAAATTAGGATTTTAAATAAAGAAATTTTGTTGGCAGAAATTTAGAAATTTTAATTAACTTAAACTTTAAATTTTTAAATTTATTTTGGATTCATTATTATAAATCTTTTGATTGGATTAAAAATTAGATTTGTATTGGACAAATGTTACAAATTCAAATATAATATTGAATTGAGATAAACAAGTCAAATTTCAAAATTGAGTAAGGATAAATAAAAAATTTCATATATTTTCAAATACTTAATTAAGCATCAAATAGTTTAGTTGAATAAATGAAACAAATCATAAAATTGGTTATGGATAAGTCATAAGATTGAGTTAAATGAGACGTATTACATGGGTTTGTATGTCATTACAAAAAAGTTCTGTCATACTACAAATTTGAAAAAAAAAAGAAAAAAGAAAAGAATAATAATGTTGAAAATGAGATAATGATTGTATGAGATTGATGTTTTTGGAGAAAATAATAAAACAATAAAACAATTAACAAAAATAAAAAATAGGAAATACAAGAAAAAAAAAAAAATAATAATAATAATAAAAGATAAGAATAACAGGGCTGCCACTTTAATCTTAACACAATAAGTTTAGAGGGTATATTTAAAACCTTCTTAAATATGAGTAAAAGTAGACTAAACATAAGTAGTTTTTGTTTTTTTTAGTGTAAATTTATAAATAATGTTCAATAGTTTACAAATAATCATGGATAATTAGCAATTTCATAATTAGCAAAAAATTTGTAAGAATTATTATTAAATTATAAAGATAGTCATAAGTTAAATGTTTGGAGTTGTGGCAGCCCTGAAAACATATATATTTTTTAAAACTGTAAAAAAAATACTTGAGCAGCTTGCTGTGGTGGTGGAACTGCTTGTGATGATTGTGGAACTGCTGGAGTATATACAGATTTAGCAGCAGGTGCAGCTGGTAATTGATTAGCTAAAAAAAAAAAAAACCTGGTTATTGAGAATTTAATAATTGTTAAAATATTTTTTTAAAAACAAAATAAATTTAAGCTACTCTGATATGATTGCATTTGTTGTTGCCATTGCATGCCATATCCTTGAGCAGGAAGTTGCTGTTGTACAGAAGATTGAGCCTGAACAGCTGATGTTGTATTAACAGCATTTGTAGAAGGTTGTGTTGATTGGACTGACCCATAAACACTATTTAAAGTAGAAGTTTGTACAGTTGATCCAAGAGTTGGATTCACTGCCTACAATAAATAGTATAAAATGTATGAATTTGAAATGCATTAACAGGTAAAATTGTAATAAAATTGTATCATAGTTTTAATGAAGGAAACCTGGGTTACAACAGTTTGACTCTGTGTTAAAGTTGTTGATTGACTATAGCTTTGAGCTACAGTTGCAGGTTGACCATAACCTTGTGTTGGAGTTGCAGATTGACCATAACCTTGTGTTAAAGCTGCTGCTTGACCATAACCTTGACTAAAATATTGGTTAGCAAAAGATGATACCTGACCCATTAAGGATGCATACTCAGGTGTGTTTGTTGCCTAAACAAATTTTTGTTACCAAAAAACAAAAAATTTATTTATAAAAAATATAATTAAAAGTATTATAAATATTAATCTATAAAAATCTCATACCATTTGTGATGCATACCATTGCTATAACAAAAAAAAAACTTAATTACTGATTAAACTTTGACGCGCTTAAAAAAAAATCTTAAATATTATATCAAAAATTTCGGTTAATATATAAAAGTATACAAATGAGAAAAATATTAAATTGTGTTGGATCATTGAGGCTATATTTTACCTGATAATACTGAATATATTGTTGAGCAGCAGGATTTGGTACAGGAGTAGAAACTACAGGTACAGCACAGGGAACAACAGAACTCTGCACACCACCTGGAAATGTTGAAGCAGTAGGTACACCACTAAGTGCCCCTGAAGCTGTGGGGGCATAGCCACTCGCAAGTGTTGAAGCACTTCCTGTTTGATTATATCCAGTTTGGACTACTGACGGACTGCTGTATGCATTCATTGACATGCTTCCTGGAGCTTGAGCAGGATACTTAGCTGCTGAAATAATACAAAGTAAAATTTATTTTAGTTAATCACTGAATGCTCAATTACATATATTTTACATAAATGTAATTGAGCATTCATAATTAAGCTTGGTCGGGAAGTAAGTGTGATTGCACTCTATTCCTGACCACTCAAATTATATTTAGTTGCAACAACCTAGCCACAGCTTTTTAGACATTTTGAGAACATTTATATTTACATTTAGTCAAGCCAAAATAATTAAATTTGAAAATAATTTTTTGTAATCAAATGTTTAATATTTGCAATGCGCTTTCAAACTAAGTAATGATTTACTTTTATTGATCGTTTATAAAAAAAAAATTTTTGATATTATTTTTTAAATTATATAAAGTTAAGTTTTATTAAGAATTATATAAATAAATATAAAAATATAGATTAATTTTTTATTCTTTAAATGTGATTCTTTTAAAAATGTTTGTATGATCGATTTTATAAAAATAAGACACAACTGCGTTTTCAATAAAATTAAAAAAATAATAATCAAAGTTAATTAAGTTTATAATTAAATAAACATACAGAAACTTACAGATGACTGAAATGAACATACATAGTGAATTACTAGTAGATGAACACTGAGCCAGAGGGTCAAACAAAACATAAACATGCATTTATATAAAGTGACTAATGGGTAAACCAGCACTGCGCCAGCGGTTCATACAGAACATAAACATACAACTATATCAAAAAGCCTACTCACTAAATACGCCAGCAGTATTGTGAAGCAGATTATCTGTCTCTTCATAAAAATATTTTACCTTTTGAGTTTAACCATAAAAGTTTGCTTTTTAAGAATTTGATGCAATAAAACAAACTTCAAGTTTGCAAAAGATATAATAAAATCATAATTTACTTAGAATGTAATATGCTCTTTATATATTAATTTATAATACATATAATATTTAAATATATAATATATAAACCTATGAACTTACTAAAGTAAAATATAAAGTTATTAAATGTATACATAGTGTGTAGTTTAAATATTGATCATTTTAGACCGCTGTTTCAGGGGTCTGATGCATTGTATTGAATTTATTACTTTTTTTAGTTAATTTTTTTAGTAGTTGTCTTCCGTCAAGTTAAGTTTTTTGTACTTTTTGAAATGTTCTAAAAACATCTAAAAGCTGTGGCTATGTTGTCGCAACTAAATACTACATGCGTGGTCAGATATAGAGTGCAAACGCACTTGTTTCCTGACCAAGCACTAAATTGCATTTCCTGACCTTATCACTGAATTGCATATATTTTTGAGTTTAAATTTATGTTTATCTAATATGAACTAGAACTAAACATGTAAACTTTTAACAAATTGAGATCTATAATTTTTAGCAAATAACTTAACATTTTTAGAAATATAGAATATTTTCAGAAAAATAATTATGCTTTAAAGACAAAGAATTATTATTAATTTTAAACTTACCAGCCATATTTGGTGCAGTATTCGTTTTATTAGTCATCTGTGCTTGTGGATAACCTTGTTGATTAAAGCTTGCATTTGGTTGAGATGGTGGTTGCTGTGAAGCTGCAGCTGGTGGAATTGAAGACTGACTTGGCATGGATGGGACAGCTCCCATTGAATAAGGATTGTATGGATTTGTTTGTGGGTATTGACTGCTGGCAATTTGCTGTTTCACATTGTATGTTGGCACCTTAAACAAAAATAATAAAATTTTAAACAACATCTTTAAACATACGCGCTAGCAGTGTAGTAATAGAGCGCTTGCTTCATAAGCAAGAGGTTCTGACCCCCACCGCGTCCTTGGTAGTACCGCACTTAACTTGTTTCTCCGCAGAGCAGTCTTGTTTGTCAAGGTTTGTGTTTCAGAGTTATAGAGTCGAGAGGGGTTATAATCACAATTAAGTAGCCTTCTTGTCTGTAGTGGCCTTATCGGCCTTGGGAAGTAAATTTAAAAAATTTTTTAAACATAATCTTATCTCATACTTGGCTATTATCTGGCTTTTGAGATTGTGAATGTGATTGATTCCAATCATTTCCTGGGTTTGTCCAAGTATTTTGCATTGGATAACCCTGCATCTGATTCCAGTTTGTTGGTTGATTATTTGTCTGAGCAGCAGGCGCTTGATAACCCTGGCTAGAATGACTTGGATCATAGTTTAGTTTGTTTTCCATTATTTCAGGCTTGGAGGATGGTGCAGGGTTAAGACCGTTTTGCTCAGGCCCCCATCTTGATTTACGAGATAGCTTTGATGATGCAGATGTGTCTTGCTGTTGATTGTTAGACAACCATGGAGGTTCTTTTTGCTGTTGCCCCATAGAGTCCGGTTGAAATGAATTTTGGAAATTTGGTTGAGCTTGAGAGTTCCATTGACTGGAATCATATGAGCTGTTTGCTGATTGACTATTTTGTGAATAGTTTTGGTTGCCCCACATTTGTGAACCTGTTTGTCCTTGTTGGTTTTGGTCTGCCATGTTATAACCATAGCCAGTCTGTGACATATTAGAGTTAGGAGCTTGATAAGGATTACTGTACTGATTAGCTTTATTATTTGAGGAACCGTAATTACTTGAAGGTTGATTTGAATAACTATTACTGAATTGATCAGAATAATTTTGACTCTGAAAAAAACAAAAACAAATTAGGATAAGTAGAATAAAGAAAACTAGATGAAAAATGATACCATAATGATACAGAATGATATAAAAATTAATGATACTAAATATACCAAATGATATAAAAATTAATGATATATAGATACAAAAGGAAGTATGTGAAAAAATATTATATTAAATTCCTTTGGCATTTAAATTTCAGTTAATTATTTAGTATTTTAAATTATTTTTTTATTATTAATATTTTACTCTCACCCAAATAAACAACAGATTTAAAAAATAAACAACTTTAATGGAAAAATTAAGAAGGAAGCAATTTAATGGCTTTAATATAAAACATGAAACTAAGTATGTACAAATATACAAGTAAGAAAATGTAAAAAATAACCTCATTTGGAATATTTGCATTGTTCCATGAGTTGGGAGGATTCAGTGAGTTGGATGGTTGATTTGATAAATTTTTAGATTGATTAAACTGCTGTTTAGGCTGCTGAAAATCTTGCTTCTGAGGTAGCATTTG